GTCACATAACATACTTTCTTGAGACGTGTCTGACAAGTAGCGCAATGAGTAGAAATTTACACAAATTTATCTGCTAATTTGGAGAGCAACTTAGAATGATCAATTGCATTGCCACAGTTTGTTCTTTATCTAATAATACAATATCATATATGAGGGAATGATTTTTCCTGGAAGATTATCCTAAAATCCATGTGAGGTCGGTGAAACTTTCACAAAGATTAGATCAAAATTGGAATAAAGGGGCCAGAATGCTTTCCTCATGCAAGTTGCAGAAAGATGACTAATCTTAGAAAATAAAAGGTTACTAAAAATGATAGTCATATTGCTCATGTTGCTTTGTAACTTTTTAATGCTGAGTGTGTATGGACATGGTTTACAAAATTATTACGTGCAAAAGTGACAATTACGTGCACTAAGTTGTTTCCTCACAATATTACTATACATTTTTGGTAGGTAGAAAAAAAACCAACTCAAATAAAACAAACACAGTCGCACCATATTACATAGCATAATTTGTCATTTACGGAATCAAAAGTCTCATTCTTTGTGTCACATGGTGACTAATAATATATGGTAATTTATTTTTGAATTTGATATTAACGGTTGATTGAACACTAAAAATATGTTCATTTGTTCTCCACCCTTGATATCAAATCTAAGAATAAGTGAACATAAATTTTGTGGCCACTTGGTCACCGAAAGAATATTTCTAGTGGACTCAAACCCATATTCATAAGGCCCTAGCTAAGTAGTCAAACTATTAGAGAGTCTAGATATTTATTTATCGTGTGGCTCGATGTAAGTAATAGTTAGAGAAGAATCTAATTGTACATTCGAAGATGACTATTATGCATGGGTGTATATTATACACTGACAACTTTGGCCATTGGATTATTAACTGTTGGATCCTTAGCTGGACACCAACTGCTCCATTTATCCGGTGCATGCTCTACATCGGAACATAGTAGAGCTTTCGTCAAGAGGTTTGGTTACCAGGGTTCGCTATTAACAATACCGAGATGTTTTGAAATTAACCTCTACACCTTATATATTAAGATATTAGACCTCGTACAGTTTCTCTCGCCTTATGTTGGATTCGAATTGCGTCGGATGTAGCCGTGAATGCACTCGCTAACCACATGAAAAACTTGAAAAGAAACATTAGAGTTGAAGACCAAACAAAACTAAAAAATAAAATCGAAATAGTTATCGAACAGATGCTGTAAAGAGCAAAGCATGGTGGTGCAGATTGCTTCAATTTGATAAACAAGTACAGATGCTGTAAATAGTTATCGAACAGCTTCTCTTGCCCAGGAAGTTTGTTTCAATTTCAAGAGTAGCGCGACTGGTATTTGTATGCTGAGTCAATCTTACTGGGAAGCTATTGTACTTTCTGCGGCAGAGTGGGGATGTATCGAGTTTAAAATTGAAGAGTGATATTGTCATAACCGACTCAATTGGATCGGAGTATCAAATCCGATGGCCTCAGACTTCGTCAATTTGTTTCCCAACTGGAGTTTTAATACCATGTGAAGCTGCAGATTGTTACGATTGCTGAACAAACTTGGTTGACGAGCATGGTTTATGTGCCCCTAATGTAGCGGTGGCTTGTCGACCATTTGACACCAAAAGGTAAAAGCCAACAGGGAACAAGCAACCACTACACATATGAAGCTCAGAACACATCTATTTGTGATCCAGTTCTCATCTTTCCTCATATTGTTGGACTTGGAGCAAAACTAGGTGAGGAAGAATTAGCAAAATCTATCTTTTAATGGCGAGGTAGTAAGAGGTTGGGCCCTCGCCCCTGGTAAGAAACTTCAATTCTGCAACAATTATCAGCAACTCAACTTGTAGCCAGGAAAAATTCCCTTTCACCAGTTCATCCAGCCATATGTGTCTATCTGTCTTATCACGTAATCGTTCATGTCAAGAAGGATAGATAAATGATTTTCTACAACTGATGACGCCCGGGAATTGTTGGTGTGAAGGAACAAAGTTTTGGCCCCTTAGGTACAAGTTATTGTCAAGGTATTATACTATGGAGTTCAACATGTGGTATATATTTGCCTTTTATGTGGCTCAGACTCACCGTTAAATTTCATGAAATTCTTCAGCACGCATTCAACCGTTAAATTTCAAAAGAAAAAATGTCAACGCATTAATACTAACACGATTATTATATGACTTTTTCAAGTCTCCATCTAAAAGGTGGCAATTAGTGGGTGACCTTCCATTGGGATCAAGTCAACTTCCAATTGATAATGGATGAGCAACTTCTCATTTTCAATTGAATTTTCCTTAGTATCCTCTTCTCCTACTTTGCATTTATAATATTTGATATTCTCAACTTTTAAATAATTTCTAAATTCTCAAAATTTTCTTAACACATGTAGTGATGGATTATTTTTGATGGATAGTTTTTTTGTTTAACGCATTGCGTTTTGATTTCAAATTCGTCTCTCTCTCTTTTAACGTAGATTAATATGGCAATATGTTTATAATAAAAATAAATAATTAAATTTCTTGGCACGCAAGATGGTGCTTTGGGGGAATAGATCCTCTCTAGATCCTGCGGACCTCCCTACCATCACTCACCTCCACCTCCCCCTCCCCCTTCCCTCCCACCCCAACTCCCACTGCATGATTCCCCGACCTTCAACCACTCCATTTTCTTCTTCTTTCTTTTTTCTGGAGTTCTGCTTCGTTGATTGCCGCTGGCGAAGAACGCATCAGTTTAACATTAAAATGGGAATGTTCTAATATAGACTTGTTTGACTTCATCTGGAACTTTGATACAGTACAGTACCATAGTGTACCTTAGGTGGTAAGTTAGGCAAATTGCCAAAAAAAAAAAAAATGGTCAATGTATTATACATTTATGTTTCGGTTGACTCGGATACATCCCTTGAATTTCCTAAAATTTTTTAGGGCATCTAGTTATTGAATTCAGCAAATATTTGTAAGTATAACATTGTTACTTAATTTTATCCTTTAATTTGAGAAAAGATATTCGACAGTGCTGACTGACAAGGACAAGTCTCACATCGAATTAATACCGAGTGGGGTTAAGGGTGACTGAATTACAAAAAATCACAACACATACTTTTGTGAGACATGTCCTACAAATAACACAATAAGTAGAAACTTACACAAATTTATCTGCTAATTCGAAGAGCAACTTAGAATGACCGATTGCTTGCCACAATTTGTTCTCTGTCCAATAAGAGAATGTCATATGTGCGATCAACAATCTTTCCTCGAAGATTATCCTAATATCCATGTGAGGTCGGTGAAACTTTCACAAAGATTTGATCAAAATTGGAATAAAGGGGCCAGAATGCTTTCTCATGCAAGTTGCAGAAAGATGACTAATCTTAGCAGATAAAAGGTTATTATTAAAAAGGATAATCATATTTTTCATGTTGCTTTGTAACTTTTAAATGCTGAGTGTGTGTGGTTTACAAAATTAATATGTGCAAAGGTGACAATTACGTGCACTAAAGTTCTTTTCACACAATATAACTCGATCGATACATTTTTGGTAGGTAGAAGAGACCACTCAAATAAAACAGACACAGTCGCACGGTATTACACATCATAATTTATCATTTGCAAAATCAAATGTCTCGTTCTCTGTGTCACATGGTGACTAATAATATATGGTAACTTATTTTTGAATTTGATATTAATGGTTGAGTGAGCACTAAAAATATGTTTATTTGTTTTCCATTCTTGATATCAAATCTAAAAACAAGTGAACATAAAATTTTGTGATCACTTGGTCACCAAAAGAGTATTTCTAGTGGACTCGAATCCATATTCATCAGGCCCCATCTAAGTAGTTATACTATTAGAGAGTCTAGAGACTTGTTTATCGTGTGGCTCGATATAAGTAATAGTTAGAGAAGAATCTAATTGTACATTCGAAAATGGCTATTATGCATGGGTGTATATTATACACTGACAACTTTGGCCATTGGATTATTAACTGTTGGATCCTTGGCTGGACACCAACTGCTCCATTCATCCGGTGCATGCTCACATCAAAACATAGTAGAGCTTTTGTCGAGAGATTTGGTTTCCAGAGTTCGCTATTAACAATACCGAGATGTTTTGAAATCAAACTCTACAGCTTATTCATTGAGATATTATATCACATGCAGCTTTTCTCGCCTTATGTTGGATTCAAATTGCATCGGTTTAACCGTGAACGCACTCTGGTAAACAAGTACAAAATCGCTAACCACATGAAAAACTAGCAAAGAAACATTGGAGCTTGAAGATCAAACAAAACTAAAAAATAAAAACGAAATAGTTATCGATCAAATCCTGTAAAGAGCAAAGCATGACGCTTGGGGTAGACCTAAACAAATGGCACTATGCTGATGCAAAAAGTCTTGTCACCATCAACAATGGTATTGGCTCCAACATCGAATGGCAAAAATACAAATTGGCCTTTCTTACGTGGAACGTCCTGCATCCTAAGATGGAATGAGGTAGATGGATGCTTATCGAGTGGAATGCAAACTCAGCATCTTAGTGGTTGAGGGCCACTCCGTCAATTTGCCCGGTATTGGATTTTGTTTAAGAAGCAAAACAATGGCGGAAAGGTCTTTTTAATGAGAAGAAAAAGGTAAAGCAATATGTTAGATACTGTGGAATTTTCAAAAGAGGTGCAGAGTGAGTCAGCAGCCACATCAGCCAATGACATGGCTCCTTTTCCCTGGCGGTTGCAAGATCATTCCCGTGTGATGCAACCATAAGAGTGATCTGATCAACCTCAGCCATCCAAGTGCAAATTCAAGAGGAACTTCGGCAAGGTTGTCCGACTATATCATATGTCGGACATTTGTCACGAAAATGTTTTAGTCTTGTCTAGATTCACGTCAGTATGCATATATTATTTACGGGGTTTTCTCCGGTGCGGCATAAATCTTGCAGGATGGTCGTGGGATGCAATATATACGTGTTTATTTTACAACTCAAATAAACCTCCGGACTGGGAAATGTAGACACACTCAAGCCCTGAAGGGAAAGAGCAATTTACAATTAATTTCCATTTCACAATGTTCAAGAACTATGTACGAAAACCAAGTCCTTATTAAGCTAAATCAATCCAACACAAACGCGTAAAAAATAAAACCAACACCGAAATTCTGATGAAAATCGTTTACTAGGCCTGTTTTTATCCATGAATCTGATGTCTCGCGGACTGCCTTAGATATAGCGAATTTTGAGGTGTGGCGTGAGCAGCATAATGAGCGTGGCTGTATAGTTTCTGAAACTGCATTTTAATCCCATCTGCCGGTCCATCATATGGAGATGGATCTAAGAGATTGCCATGAGTAGAGCCGAAAACCATGGCGGCTCCTCCATCATCAGCTGCATTCCAGTCAAGTAAAACGTTTGGCGATTCAGTGGACTTCTGCTCTGGTGGAGACTGGTCTGAAGGAGACCCGTTAGTTTCTGGTGGAGTATTGCTTGTGAGGTTGACAGTGGTTATGTCATGGATGCTTGGCCGCCTTTTATCTTTCCCGCCTGAATGTTGCCTCATGAAGTATTTCTGAGCATGGCTTGCTACTTGTGTGGGAGTTTTAGTGACCACATAATTCCGAGAGATGTTTCTCCAGTCCCCTTTCCCGTGCTTTAGAAGTCCCAGCAGAAACCGCCTACAATTCATTACCAGCAATCAAGCCAATAAAAATAGCAAGATCACACAGAGAAATCAAACCTATCCACGTGCAATTTGACTAACATGGTAGTGAGTGCGGAATTGTCTTCTATCATAATTTATTCACCGCCATACTTCAAGTCCAAGGAGAATCAAGAGACATAAATAAGGCCGAGTGTGGAAGGTAAAACTCGGAGTGCGGAAATTACTCCGCTACATCAGAATTAAGTTGGATATGAAGATTTGAATAGATGACTGCTTTTGAACTAATGTCTAGAACAGAAGCCAGAGTGGTAGAAAATTCCATTTGGTTCATAAAAAATAGTTGGAAATTACACGTGTGGGTTAGGTCAGTTGGCTATGGCAGTATATCCACCATTTCGCAGCATCCAAATTTGAATTCTTTTCCCGCTGATTAGAGTAAGCTTAGAATATCATCTTGTCATAAAAACTAATTGGAAATTAAAGAAAACAAAAGTTTCATCCACATAATGATTTCCTAATATTGAACTAGAGCTTTCATATTAATTTTTCATAAGCTGTTAAATTTCGGAACTACGAAATGTATAACTAGCACAATAGTTGAGGACAATTCTACAAAAAATGGATGGATGGAGATAATTAAACCTGTGCTCTTCGGGTGTCCATGGAATTCCCTTCTTCCTCTCCTGATCAGAACCCCTCGCCGCTGCCTTGGCCGGCCTCTTTCGATTCGCATCGAAATCTCGATCATCCCCCAACTCCAATGTGAAGTACGACTGAGGGTACCCTGGAGGAATCGGAAACCTCCCGGATTCTATTTCACAAACATCTTCCTCCAGGTCCTGGTACTGTTTGATCACGTCGATCTCCGTCTTCCCCGGTATCATCTCCGCCACCTTCCGCCACCTGTCCGGCGTTTTCTCATCGAACATCGCCAGGGCACTCTCAAACATCTTGTTCTCCTCCTTAGTCCACTCTGAGTACCAATCATAATCCGCCATGTTTGAAGCCGGATACAAGGTCTCCATGCTTTTACAAGCCGTAAAAATATCAGGAACTGCTTCACTTATTTAGTCGGAAGCTATTGAAGTAAAGCTTAAGAAGGCAATCAATTCAGAATCTTCTACTGGGAATCAAGAATCTCCTTTTTCCTAGATAGCATAGACTAAAGAATCTTGGAAAGAATCCACTTTTTGGGAATCGCGGAGAATCTTGGAAAACCCTGAGAAAATCTGATTTGGTTCGTTGGGTATAATCCTAGAGAGAGAATGGGAAAAACCCAGATGAATTTTTGGGATTTGAACGAAATTAAACTCAAAGGCGAGGGCTTTATCTATCTGAAAGCAACCCACATCGTAAAAAGTTGAAATTTTTGGAAATTAACCAGAAAGAAGATGAAAGATGAAGGGTTGAACAGCAAGAAAAAATACCCAGTTGAGGAAAAAGAAAGATTCTAGGGGGCTGAGAAAAGCGGGAAAAAGAATTACTGGCTTCGTTGCTTTGAAGAGAAGGAAGAGAAAAGGATAAATATATATAGGTGTGTGTGTGTATAGAAAGAAGATGAAAGATGAAGGGTTGAACAGCAAGAAAAAATACCCAGTTGAGGAAAAAGAAAGATTCTAGGGGGCTGAGAAAAGCGGGAAAAGGATTTATTGGCTTCGTTGCTTTGAAGAGAAGGAAGAGAAAAGGATAAATATATATAGGTGTGTGTGTGTGGATACATATATATATATATATATATAGACTGGGAAAGGAGAGTGATATATCAAAGAAATTAATCAGATAATCAGAACCACTTACAGCAAGTGTTGTATTCTGTGACGGCTGTTAAATAAAGAAATTTTTTTTGTGCCAGTATACGCTCAATGTTAATATAAGTAATTTGATTTTTGAATTTTTTTTTTTTGTAATTACTGATGGTACTTGATGCGTCGACCTGTGTTTCTTCACACTAAAAAAATTTAAGGAAAAAATGCTTCTTATATGGTGAGATTGGACTGTGGGTACCTATCTAGACAGAACTTCCCTCTTTTTGAGAAACTTTGTCTTACCCAAAAAGGAAAATTAGATTGCGTAAGTGGGATTTCTTTTCTCCTTTTCTGCCGGGGTATAAATTTCGGATGTTTATGTCCTCAGTCAGTGGTTCATTTTTTATTTTTTTTTTCTTTTTAAGTGGGATTTCTGTTGTGTTTTGTGGCTTTTATGTAACGAAGAAATTGTAGTAATGATATATCAGTTTTAATTCAATTGGAGTAATGATTTTTTTTATTAAAAATTTATGAGTATTGGTTCCTTAACTTCTCAAAATGTGTAGCTATATTATTTTATTTAACTTTGTTAGAACTTCTGTCAAAATGAATCATGTGTGACACATGAGGCTAAATCGATGGGCAAATATAGAAAACTAAATAAGAAAAATTGTAGCAATGACCCCACAACTTTAATCCAACTGAATAAATGATCCCTCAACTTTAACATAATTGGAGCAATGGTCCTTTAACATTAACCCCATTGGAGTAATGATCATTCCAACATAACTCATTTTGACGGAATTCTAATAGTGTTAACGAAAAGGACTATAGCTACACGTTTTGATGAGTTAATGGACCGATAGTCATGAATTTTTAGTTGAGGGACCATTGCTCTAATTGGTTTGAAGTTGACGGACTATTGCTACAATTTTCTCTTTATGTAACAGATTGGAAAACAACATTTCAAAAGTGTTATTCATTAATTCATATTTTGTGGGGGTTAAATTAATTATGGATGGGCATCGTTCAGTTTGAGGTTGGATTGATTTTATCTTTAAAGTTTAGGAGTGGACATCAAACCGACCGAACTGTTTAAATCGATGAAAACGGTTAGAAGTATTATTCTTTAGTTTATACTAGCAAGGGTGCCCGCGCGTTGCTGCGGGAATGAAAATTGTATAACACATAGAATTTCTAAAAAAATTATATACGTATATACAGTAGACAATACTATTTACATACATGTGCAAATTTATTTACAACTCTATCAACAATAAGGAACAAAATAGGTGTCCATGGGCGAAATGAAGTTTATGGTTGTAAATTGTCAAATTCCATACATGTCAAACTTCATTTAGGAAACTGAAACCATAAAGAATAAAGTGATAAACACGCAAAACAGTTCACAATATGAAACTGTTGCTTCACTAAATAAGCAGTACCAACAAAATCATGCTTGTTTTGCTGCAAAAGAATAAAGTAGAAAAAGGGAAACAAAATATTTATTTGTTGTTTTATTTTATGTGGAAAAAACTTGGAAGGAGAAGCGATAGTGAAAAGATCATATTTATTTCAAATTTTTAGACAGAGAAAAATAGTACAGAAACCAACAATGAAGGCACATTCTGAGAAAGTATTGATGAAAACACATAGTACACATACCTGCTTAAACCTTTCCTCCTTTTGCTGAGCCTGTCTTTGGAGTAGATTAGACAAAGGAAAAAATTGTGTTGGGCAATTTAGAACCTGATATAACAAAAGCATAAAAAAAAAAATCCAGAACCTGAAGTGCCTTTTGAAAGCTTGGTACTACTTTGAAAATCTACAAAGGGAAAAATTGTAAACCCAAATTAAAGCTTCTTCTCTTACTCTAAAGAAAAATGGAAACTTTATATGGAAAAAAATTGAAATTCTGCTTAATCAAAAGTGGATCAAAACTCTAAGTAGATTATCTTAACGTGTAGGAGATCGTTGTTAGAATTTGAAAACAATTGAAACTTCATTTTAAAACAGACTTAATCAATTGATTTATATTTAAATGGAAAGAAAGTAGTGGTAATCAATTGATTTATATTTAAATGGAAAGAAAGTAGTGGTTAGTTTTACCTATCGTTTGTTTAGTGTCGCTTAATTTCCAATTTGTATTAAAAGCTTGAATTTTTACTTTCCTTCCATTCCCCTGTGCATAATAGTCCAGTAGCTCTTGTTTACCTACAACAAATTGAAAACCATTTGGGGAAAATAACTAAGCCTTTTGTTATTAGATTCTTGGTAGGCAAAGCAAGAAATTTACACACAACAAAACATTAAAAAACCCAATTCCAAAATTAGGTTCTCGACTGGCTAATGATCATATTGGATATAAATTATCATCCCGAACACTGCAATGCTTGATTTTATTTATTTATTTATTTTTTTTGGAACATTCTAGTTAATCATTATTTAACTGAAGAATACAATTCGTAGAACAATAATTAGTAGATAAAACTAATGGGAACAAAATACCAAAATTTGCAGTTAACAACATAGAGCTAAGTGAAAAATACAAAAAATAAGGATAGGAAGGCAACCAAAATGTGACTCTTACCTGGGTTTGGTTATGCTTCTATCAATTGCTGCCCTTAACTAACGAAATAAGCAATTTCTTAACGTGGCACATTTAGTCATCAATCCCTTACACACACACACACACACACAAAGATATTATGTATTACATTCTAATTTTTCTTTACTTACATTTTCATTCTATTTCTTCAAGTGTGTAAATTTACACTAATTCTCCATAATTTTCAGTCAATTCCATTGTAATTAAAATAAATATTGAGTATATACGCACTTATAAACACAAAAAATTCAATTTTCCATACGAAAGCACATACGTCAAATCAATGTTCCTACTGTATTCATTTAATCAAATGACGCATCAAATATAATAATTAAATTATACCTCTAATTTATAACCTTTTTATTTCGCTTCATCTGTAGCTAAAACCAAAATTTAGACAGTCCCCAATATAATTCTATCAAATACCAGATAGCAACACCATGTAAAAGTTATATTGGGTGTCCACACCCACACTTACACTTTACAAATAAATTTGAACTTTGAATCACTTGGGCTTCAAAAATATTTGCACATAAATTTGGAAGAAGATGAATAAATTAAAGAAAAATCATATCTACTAGCAATTCAGACTAACCTAGAGTTGCTATCGAGCTCTGTTGAAGACAACTCTTCACTGTTGACAAAGTCTAGAACAACCTGGAAATTTAAAGAGATCAAATTTAAAGCCAAATAAGCAATCATTTACTGAAAATCTTCACAAAAAAGTGCTAGTTTCACAAATAAATGAAACCCAGATTAAATTTCTTGATAAAAACTAAGAACTTCAAAGCTTAAGAAAACCCATGAATCCAACCATAAAAAATATGCAAACTTTCACACTGGCAAACCATTCATAAACCAAAAATGATATCTTAAACAAAACACATGAATCCAACTCAAAAAAGCTCAAATTTAAAACAACCAACACAAATAAAATATCAAACATGGTTCATTGTCTCTCTTCGCATTTTAAATCACATAGTGTTGCCCAATATATTATCGTATTAACATTTCATATACTCATGCATTAGATAAAAAAATTATATCTATGTTAAAATTACATGGACTGCTTTATCATGGTTTAAGAAAGCAACCACAAATCTTAGTATCTACATGTTCCTCAAATTATCTAAAATACTAAAACAAAACCCTCACTTCTCACTACATGTTTAAGATACATGAACCCATACAAACCTCTTCACCATTCACCAATACCATTGGTGCTCAAAAACCAAAAGAAAAAAAAATCATTAAATAAGATGGCTACTAACCAAAGCATCCTTTGAACAAATTAAGAAAATCAAATAAAATTAAACACTCAGAAAAAAAAAAAAACACAAAAAAGATATGCTTGAATTGTCAATGAAATGAAGATACTAATAAATACAAAGATAAGTTTGAATTGTTAATCAAATAAATAAATAAATAAGACAAAGCATTTCCAAACGTTGATTATGTCTGATGAGCTAATGCTATGTGATTGCCCTGGATTTGTCTTTCCATCCTTTTCAAGCCATGAGATGATTGCTTCTGGTGTATTACCAAGAATATGGAGGCTGCGCTGATAGTGGCCAATTGAGTTCCAAGACATGTTATTGAAGCGGTTTGCAGGATTGATCTGCCCAAACCCAAATCCTATGAAATCGATAACGAAGAAACAGAGAATAAAAGGAAAAATGTATTATAGCATACTATGTCCTGCTTCATACATATTTAACCCTTCAATTAAACACATTTCCTTTTCATCAAAATTAGCATGAATATAATAGTGCTTCCAGCAGAAAATAAAAGGAAAAAATGACAACCGAAAAAATTGACAACCCAAGATATATAAGTTTAGAACAGGCCAAACAATGACAACCCAACAAAACCAAAGATTTAATTAAATGAAGCATAATTCAGTAAATCTCATAATTTATTTATTTCATTTTTTGACCAATCAAACAAACCATCACCGAAGAAAGAACCAGCACCAAAAAAAAAAAAAAAAAGTTAAATACCTTGATCGCAAACAGCTTGCCAGGTTGCAGACAGAAAGGCCAAAATTCAAACTTCTTTTGCTGAAGCCAAATATGAAAGCATATCAGAAAGGCAGACCCAAAGCACGAAAAAAGAATCAAACAACATACAATCAGCAAAGCAGAAAACTCACCAAAAAAACCTTAGATCGCATTGATAACTTTTCCTGAAACCAAAAATCGAACTGCATCGCACAGCCACACACACCCAAACAACGAAAAAAAAAATTGAAATTAGACACGGCAAGAAACGCAAAAAACTCACCAGAGATCGTTAGTTTTCCGAGAAGAAAACAGCCGTGAATAATCGGCGAGACAAAGACGCAAAGGACGGATAGCCAGAACAACGCAGGCGTGGGAGAGAGAAAAACCTAGGCTCCAAAATAAGGAAATGCTGAAAATGCTGAGAGAGAGAAGGGAACCCAAAGAAAAGGCAGACTAGAACTGGAGCGGAAGAACCACCGATGACAGACGCGTCGTTGCCAAGAGTAGAATCGTCATTGTACTGTAGAAAAAGTTCAAAGATACAGCTGATGGGAAAAAATTTGGAGGGCATTTTCGCCACTCCACTGTCCGTGAACAGTACACTGCCGTTTGGGTTTTAGTATAGAAATAATTTTGGGTGGATCAAATTAGGTACGGATGAGCATCATTCCCTTGCTTGGTGAATCGATATCTTTAAAATAATAAAATTGCCACCAAACTAATTATACTAGGACGGTTTATTTTCGGTTTGATTGTATCAAGAATCATGAAAAAAATCGAACCAAACCAAAACTTATTTCGACGGTTTGGTTTGGGCCGAAGTCCATTTCTTTTGCATTTTACATCTTTGTTAGCTTAATTAGGACAAAATAATTTTATGACTAGCTACAATATTTCATATTGTAGCACATAAATTTCAAATCTCAATAACTTAGTTACTACTAAATCCCACTCTACTTCAAATTTTAACAAATAGTTAGTAGTCTATACTACATGTGTAAAATAGATTAAGATAAAAGAAATGGTCATTCGGTTTGACACATTCACAAAAGCTTAAAATTGCAATTGGTGTAGTTCTATTTAAGCTACTTGACTTTTTTTTACTAGTAATACCAAATAAATTGACCACCACAGTTCCAATTTCTTATAAGAATACTGATATTTTAGAGAGTTAATTTTTACACACTTTTTTTTCTTGCCATCAAATTGCACAAGTCAAATAAAAATAATGAACAAGATTGAACAATGGGGCATTGGAGGACAAAAATGGGGTGTCATTCTCATTTTTCTATAATCCGGTAGCCTTTGCCAACTCACTTTTGAGCATTAAATATGATTCAACCGCATATGCCTACCAACAAGCGCCTGTAGCTCAGTGGATAGAGCGTCTGTTTCCTAAGCAGAAGGTCATAGGTTCGACCCCTATCTGGCGCGATCATTTTTGTCTGTTTTCTATATATATATTTCTTTTTTGCAGAATTATATTTACAAATTTAAAGGAGTAAATAAAAAAAATGAATCATCAAGAAGACAATATAGAAATTCTTACAGACCAAACATTTATTATATATATGTGTGAAACTAAATTCAACACAAAAAATTGACAAAGTACAAGAAATTCAAAAATTGACAAACTTATTCACTCTTTTAAGCAGCTGCTTCTGTTTCATTCCCTGTACCAAACCATCTTTTCAATTGTGTGCTTCTCAATTCAGTTCATATTCTACCTGGAACACTCACTCTTTCGATGTCTCGAGCCTCCAGCCTCGATTCAAAAGCCGTTCGGATTGGAAATTCTAGCAGGTTGGAAGATCAGTCGGAGGTGGTGGCAGAGACTCGTTTTGTCCTTCTCCGTTTTCCACTAAGAATGCCATCTTCAGCCCCCATGATGTGTGAACTTCCAAGTGACAATGCAGGAACCAAATGCCTACCATTCACGAAAAAGAATAACATATTTCTAATTAATTGCATTTTATCTGTAAAAAAATATGTTAGCATGTTGGCACTAAGATGAGTGAACTTGCCACTGTAGGGCATGTTACGTACTTAAAATGCGAGAAATCATGAATCGAGGAAGTCAGGAATATGGAAGATTTAGGAACGGCAATGAGAATAACTACTCTTATCAATCTAATTCTCGATTCTCAGGTATTAGGTAGGTAACAAATGGTAACGTCGGAACAAAAGGGAAGTAATGAATCGGAACAAGTCCGGAGCCCATTTCAAGTAAGCAAACATGTCATTAACAGAGTATAAAACTACACAAAACGGAATATTGTGGTAGATTTTATTACCTGGATTATTTGCTCTGAATCTGATTGCAGTCCATCCAGCAGTAGGTACTGATACTGTGTTCCTCTCAACTGGGTCAACAAGATTAAATTTTTCTGGGTCCTTCTTTGGATCAAAATTACCTAATCCTTTCCCAACCACAAAGAAATTGAATCCATGAAGATGGGTTGGATGGCTCTCTGGTGCTATGATAGCAGTGCCTTGCAACACAATCTGAACCGTCGAATTATACTCCAGCCGGTATAGTCTTGTCCCGTTTGTGGTCTGAAGGTTCGCCGGAGATGTGCCGGTGTAATTAAAAGGAATTGGAGGGTTTGCCGGAAAATCAAGTGTGTAGACTCCCTTTACGTTGTAGTAATATGCTTGAAGGAGAGAGATACTTGGCATCACGAAGCTAACATTGTTGATGGCAGATACTAGTTTGCTTCCACTGACACATGCAGCACATGGATTTGCACCAACTGAAATGGTGAAAAAAAGCGAATGGTCTATAGTTAATGGGACATCGGCTGGGTATTGTTTCGAATTGAGGCTTCGAAGGGAGTCAACAAAAGCGTCTGTTAACGGGGTTGCATTGCGAGGAGGAATGCTGGTTAAGATAGCTGTGGGATTTGCCGGGGTGCCTTTGTAGCGCAAAGTAGCGATCACAGTTGCATTGTCGAACCCAATTGGTGCGTCCATGAAAGGAGACGCTGTTATGAAGTACTTGCCAATCCCCTGGTTTGCTGTTAGAATTACGTTTGTGGTTTGACCTGGACCGGTGTATATTGTGTCAGTTTGGAACGGCTTGGTGTAGGAGGCGTCGACTTCTACAACGGTTAGGTTGTGCCCTGCTACCTTGAAGAACAATTCATCGTTTATCGCAGCGTTCACAATGCGTAGCATGTAGGTCTTGCCATTTTCAACATGTAAAGTGTAGCCCCCTAGCATATATGCAAAACACAAAATTGTTATGTTGCATCCCTTGGATCACTTTGCTTGTACAGGAAGTAAGGTTAGTTTTGGCAAATCACATGTGTGGTACTAAGTATACCCCATTTCAGTACCCTGAGAAGAGCAACCAGGAAGTGGTCCTACGCGGCCATTGATGGTGTGTGCATCTGAGACATTTGGTGGCAGGCCAGACTGTGTAGCTTGATTGATCACATCTTCAACATCTGATTTCCACCATTCAGCTGCAATTAAAAGGCTAAAGTCAAATTACCAAATAACAAAGCTGCAATCACTAGGGCTCGTTTGGTGGCTCATCTTCGACTGGACTATTTCAATTATATTAGACAAATTTTCTAGCCGCTATTTTGTGAGCTAGTAAACATTGGGACTAAACATATTAAACAATAGTACAACATATTGCGACTGAAACCGTCTCAACTTACCCATGATGATAATTTTTTCCTCATCAGGTGTGGGAAAAGGGTAAGGAGTGCTTCTCTTAGGTAAGATGACGATAGCACCATGTAGAGTGGCCCTTAGCCAAGAGTCGTGTGCATGCCAAAGAAGGGTGCCTCTTTGGCCTGTAAGTGTGAAATTGTAGATGTAGTTTTGGCCAGGCTGTATGGGGCATTGTGTGATGTATGCTGGCCCGTCTGACCAACCTGTTCCACGTTGTTTTACCCCATGCCTGCCATTACCGAAATTATATCATCATTTTATTAGGAATTTCATCGACTTCTACAATATACTTTAGTTAAAAGATGACACATTTAGAAAAATACAAAACCAAACATCAAATTTGGACACATATAATCTTTTAGTTTAACTTTTTTTCATTCATAACTGTCACTTGCCAATAGTAGTCTCGCATAAGTTTATCGTATATTTGTGGGAATGGAATAGTTCTCACCAGTGGATTGTGACATTGTATTTCACATGGTTGGTGACCCTTACAATTACAGTATCATCTTCCCTTGCGTAGAGGGTTGGTCCGGGGAACTTCCCGTTCACGGTGACGATGGGCTTATAGGAACAAAGATTTGTTGTGTTCTTGTAGACCACCTGCATATATATACATATATATATATATTTATTTATTTCAGCCATTAATGCCACACTAGCTGGTACTCTAACATCAATACATGCGAGCTTAATTTAAAACAAGATGAAGTCATATGTCCTGAATGTACTTACACTGAATTTATAGTGTCGAATCAAGGACTCGACGAATGCGGGATACAAGAAGGCAAACAAGAACAACATTGTTCGAAATCGAAGCCCCAAGAACTCCATGTTTGGTAAGGAGCTCTTAGATGTGTGTGAATTGCTGTTGTTATATGGATTATGTAGTGTAGTTACATGGACCACCTTAATCTTATATAAAGAAGCAAATAATCTGAAAAAGTGATAAGTTATTTTAGGTCTCGTGGTAGGTGAATGAGAAATGTGAGCAAATGTATATGGTTTTTTCTTGCATGTTACACAATTGTAGTAGTAATCTGTCCATGTTGAAGCTATCTTCTGCACTTCCTGCCTCTTTCTTTGACAACTACTGCCCACCTGCACAACTCTCTCTCTCTCTCTCTCTCTCTCTCTCACAGATAAACCTGGTTTTTGACAGATTTTCACGTTGAGTTTCCCTGATATGTCGGCACGCGTCTATCAGTAATATTTTCCAGTTATTAGCCAAGGTAAATTGTAACAATTTTCAGTAGGTATAATGTAACATAATTACCGTTAGATAACAATTTTGTTTTCAACTTCAAAATTTTGAAAAATTCTCTTGGGTGCAACCCGGCACCAGACCATACCAGTCTATGGACCGTCAGATTTCATCAACGTTCATCTAACAGTCGAGAATCAATGACCGGATGACCTTCTGTATGCAGACTATTATAATGGAGACATTAGGAAAGCTGGCGAAATCTTTGGAGAATGGTGAAGTTCGTTTAAACCTTCCCTCACCGAAATTGTCAACATCCTCGGCCACGCCGTCTCGGATGGTGGTATTTTCAATCCCAGTCTGAATCTCCCCCCCAAATTCTGCACATACTCAATCTCATAAGAACCGTGATTGTTGTCCCGTTTGAAGATTCATACTCTCAACCAAAAAGAGTGGATGAAGACCAACAGCACAGCACAGCAAGGAGACAGAGCTGCCGCAGAGGATTCCAAACGTGACAATCCTCTCTGAAGCCGGCATTAAATTAAGACCTAAAATTTGGCTTGATATTAGTTTTTGGTTTTCATTTTTATGAAACGTGAAGAACTGAAATGATTTTAAACAACTTTTAGTTTTAAAAATACATCTCGTTGTGTCGCCAAATCTTATTCCCATTCATATTTTCTAGTTGTTATTACTGTTCTTTTGGTACAATCGTCACGATCGACTCGATAACCTGTTCTAATCTTAAAACTTTTTCACAGTTGGGACTTAGCCAACCAGAGTTGGATTTGTTAAACTTGAATTGGAAGAAACCATTTTTTGGTGATGGACAGACACCGCCAGAGGACAAGAAGAAAACTAATGAAATGCATACTTCCATGAGGGAACGTTCCACCATTTTTCTTTATTTTTTAGTTGAATTCCTCGATAAAAAAAGCCAGCCGAGCTTGAAGGCTTTTACTTTTCCAGAATAGTATACTCCGAGACATATGGATGGTAGACCAAAAATGGGAAATAAAAAAGTGAAAAATAGTTGAGGAATGGTTTTCATGGACTGAGATGGCATGTTGTCCTGTCCAGAAACGTCAAGATTAAAAGCGGAGGATGGGATTTGTACTAACATCTCAACTTCCCCATCAATTTAAATATTACATCTTTTTCGGGTTGGGTTCTCAAATCCCTCATTTTCCCCATTATTTTTGTTGAAAAATGTGAAGTTCCATGTGGAAAACTTTTCAAAATAAAATAAAGATTATATGAAGAGGGGTTCTGCTACTGATATTGATGCTTTGTGTATAAAACTTCACACTATTGTTAGACAGGAAAAGAGTTCGAAACTATTATAATAATTTAGGAAATAAGAGAATTTCGAACCCGCAACACATGGATAGAAATCCAAAACCCTATACATTAGAATATTGGACTACATGCTTTATAAAACTTCACACTTGTTAAACTAAATAGATAAGTCAAGAACAATATCAATATTCAATCAACTAGTAGTTAGCTACTAGACCGCCTCTCTAAAATCCTTGAAACCTTAACAATTTCAATTCAACATAGTATAGGTCTACCCAAAGGAAAAGAAAAAGAACAGAGAGTTAATTTTTATTTTTTATTTACTTTATTTAAACGAAAACATGTACACTAACATTCTACTCAAACCCTCTTGGATGCTGCTTCTAAAGCAGCCTGATCAATCTGTTAATGCAAGACTTAAACAGAAACCCTAGATAATCTACAATGCTGTCCTCAAATGCACGTTCTAAGGGTTGACCTCAAATGACCAGCCAACTAGGAACTCGTCCCCATAATCTCCAAGCTTCACTTAATTTACAGATCCATCCAACCCTACATTGCTTGCTTCCAGTTTGTACGCATAACTATGTTGTAATGAGTCCATGATCCGTGACCTTTTCCATCTTCTTTAGGGAACATGAAGCCCGAGATTAACCGAACGTATCCGCCATCCTCTCTGGCTAGATCAGTGCAGCGCTCAACCATCAGCGTCTATTCGCCTAGTCTTTGGGTTTGAAAAACCATGCTCCAGACTTTGTCTACAGGAGCTTCAACAATGCCCCCTACTGATCCGCGCCATTTCGCAGTTCTGGCCTCAGATGCCTGAAGGTAAAATCGGAACTTTGAGTTCTATGTGTAAACAAACTTTTTTTTTCACCGAAATTTCAGTATCTACACTAAAATTCACCAATAACTTTTTAACAAACTCAAATTCAAATTTTCATAAGTTAATTTGTATGTCAAAAAAATTAAGCGTGACCAAAAAGAGAAAATTGTAGCTATATTATGATTTGAGAAATAAAAATCGCGTCGTTTCATTTCCGGAGAAAATTGAAAAGGGAATGTAGTAATCATACGATGCTTTTCTGTGTTTTGCTACAGATAATTTGATTGTAGGAACATTCTTTCAAATGAAAGCAGAGCTATTCATGAAGGAATATCAATATCCTATGAAACAATATATGATTTTGGCATGTACCTTTGGAAGACAAATTGGGTTGGAGCTTATTAGAATTTATTACAAAAATTTGGATTTACTATAATTATTAGAATTTATTTTTTATCATTGTTTTTCCAAGTGTTCAATTTCTTATCCATAAAAATGCCATATCATCATTGAATGAATAGAAAAACATAATGTCTTTAATACCATAATAAAATGTGAGCATCCAAATTAATTAATCACTCTTATTAAAGACTTTACATCGCAAATGAGTACTCCCCGATAGGGTATGAATGACGTCTTCTGTTCAAACTAAAGCATGGGTCAAAGCCAGCAAATTTGACGAACAACCTAATCATCATACTAATCACATGGAAAACATTGCTACTTTAGGTATTTGGACAGCCTTTCAATGCTTTGTAAACACGCACCAAGTTGCTATAGAAAGGTGAATTAGATTAAGGTGCACAGCTACACATATACCTAATACAAACTGTAACAAGCAAACCTCTCTGAATCTGAGTATAATTTAAACCATGTGTGAAATGAAGATTAATTAACGATATATTAAAATGAACTTGATGGATCCATTTCCACCACCTTGGGAAAATTTGTGCACCATTATACGGAAGGAATGCATGGCTTAAGCTGCAGCTCCAACAGGCACCCCCTTGAGCCTGGATGATCCGTATAGAGTTTCTTCGAACCGGATAATCTCATTTTTCGATCCATAAGCAACCTGAGTTCTATCGTCGAGGTTAACGACCACCTTGTCTAGCACAGACTGATGACCATCACTACTAAAGCCTCCAGCATTCTCAATCAACAACCCTAATGGAGCTACCTCAAATAACAGCCTCAGCTTGGCTTTCGTGGTTGGAGATATAACGTTTGTGAAAACCCCTTTCTCTTTCACAATTATCTGCACATAAATAAATCATAAAGTTTTAAACTTGTTAAGATCGCTAGACATAAATTAGCAGTTTATAGTGTGTTCGGTTAAGGAGAAGTTGAGAAGACCTGGTTGACATCCGGAACCATTCCTCCGGTGTATCTCAATGTGTACTTCTCTTTTACATAGTAGTTGATCAACTGTTGTTAACAAGCAGAAAGAGTGGACAAGAAAATTAGTGATGAATTTATTGATTACTAATGCAGTAATGAAATAATATTGCTCTTTAAACCTTGTCATAGTCTGGATTGTCAAACGTGGCTCTCAAATTTCCAGGCGAAAACATCTTTCCTTCACCAATCTCTGTTGTCTCTTTGACATGCTGCCACTTTCCTGACCAAGCATTCGCGTGAGATAACGATTTTAAGGCCAGCAGGATTGAGTACCTCATACTTTTGGTGAACAATTTAATTTTGGAACACGAGAGGTTTAAATTACTGTGACGGCAAATATTTTTATGGTAACAGGAAGAACAATTTTTTTTTTGGGTAATGTTGTTACGATCTTACCTTCATCGAGAAGAAGAAATTCGTGGGTTCCAGGGAAGCCCTTGATGGCAAGAACATATGTAGTTCTAGGACCGTAAATTCCCATGGCTGCAGCAACTTGGTCTCTTCCTGTTACCCCAGTTAACTTATCTCCTGGCCACACACCAAAGATGGTGCCTACAGTGAAGTTTGTGTCGACAATGCTGGAGCCATCGAGCGGATCAAAAGCAACACTAAATCCACCTGTTCATATTGCAAAATTGGATAACTAGGCTCATCCCTTCGATTATCTCATCCTCCACTTAAAAATAAAAAAAAATAAAAAAATAAAAAATTTAAGATCAGAAAGCAATTCATTACAAGGACTCGCTGACCTTCAATTGGGCCTCCCATGTCTTGGAGTTCCGGAACCTCTTCAGAGCAAGCGTATTTGCAGACATGCGAGTAACTTAAGGCCTAAGGCACCAAATGTAACAGGCATTAATTTTACTGCTGATCTCCTGAAAATATATGTCCTGTATTCTGATGCATTTGAAAGAATGACTTTCAAATTTCATCCGGCAATACAATACTTATCGTTTCACTGATAAATTACCTCAAACAAAAGCTTGTCAGCAAGCATATCCACGGCGAGCTGCTCATCCCCGAAAGAATTAATGCAGGCCGTTCCTCCACAAGCAGCTGTTCTGACCTTGAAGGAAATAGTCCTCAGTGCTTCTCCCATGCTTATCAGCAACCGGATCAGACCCTTATCCGGGGTTGCCTTTGCAAGAAACTCCTCCTAGTCCCAATTGATTTAACTTTCACCGTCACGATACAAAATTTTACATTTCCTATGTTTCTTAGACAATTTTTTCAGTTTCGAACTAATAGTTATGTTGAATAAAAGCGGTTTTTACAGTAACTCACCAGGCTATCACCGATTGCACATTTTGTCACATGGGTATAATGTTTTGTCTTGGAAACCTTGAGCGATGATCGTGGCACTTGTCGTAGTGATTCTCCGAAGAGGGAGCTCGATTTTAGGCTCTGCAGTCACAATTATGAACTATGAAGCTCCAATTACACCATGCGATGATATTCACTATATGTTATACGTGTGTATCAAATTGCAAGCGTATTAATATAATGGTTGCTCGTGTGACACATGCATAAAATTGAAATGAAATGCTAATAACCTTGGAGCTAAAAGATGGAGCCACAAGTGAAGTGGAATGCTGGTGACTCACAACGCCGGCAGCCGGCAGGAACGCCCTGGCGGATGAGCAGCAAGCCATGGTGGCCTCCATGCTTTTTGAAAATACTAATCCAGAGATTGATATTCCGATGAACGATTTTCAGTACTGACTTGTTGAGGGGTTACTAGATAGGGCGAGAAACGGCGTTTCGCCACGTGGAGGGTGATGATTAGATATGCTGACAAAGTGTTGCGTTTCATGAAGTTAACTAGGCATGGGGATTGGCTTTCAATCTTAAATTTGTGGCTCTGCTATCTGCACTGCTCCTCCCAAGAGATATGGTAACCCACTGTTTGTAAGTTTGTGCGTGCCCAACTGCGTTTGTTCTGCTTACGTATTTTTCCCATTTCATTTCGTAGTGTTCGTTGGACCTTTAGACCTCGTTTGGCATGGATGATTGATTAGAAGGTTAACTTTTTAAATTGAAGGTAGAGAGGAGAAGAATTTTTTATTTTAAGGGGGTTAAACATGAAAAAAACTTTTCTCTTCAACTTCATTTTTTTTAGTACATAGATATATTTTTATACAAGAAGAAGGGAGAGTTCGGTTAAATCACATAATGAGCAAATGCATCTTTTCAATAATGATTATGGAACCAAAACCATTGATTAAAATTAATTGCTGAAAGAGTTTGTAGCAAATTCTACTTAATTGGCCCACAACCACAAGAGATTATGATTTCAATTTCCCATAATATATCTCAATTATCCTTGCCAAGCAAAAGTCATATATAGATAACATAAAATTTAACTTTTTCATTCTTCAATTCAAGGTTTTAGACTCAAAACTCAAATTTAAACTTTAAAATTTGAGTGGAGGTATAATGTGGTATAAATAATAAGATTTTCACAACATTTTCTTACATGTTTCCAAATAAAATTGATGATAAATTGTTTTGTTTATCAACATCATCATTTTTTTTAGACTACAAATAATGAGAAGATACGATCCGATCAACTATAATTAGATAACTTGTCATTTCTAAGAGTCAAACATGAAATTTGTAATTAACAAGTGAATGGAACGTATTAGTATGCACTGCATAGTAGTGCATGTGACAACACTAATTAAATTTGTTTTCTTCTTACCACTAGAAATAAGAAATAATATTATTTTTCTTCACTTGCAACTTGTAAACGGAAAATTTAGATAGTTAATTATAGGGGTGGGCATAAAAACCGCAAAACCGCATCGAACCGTAAGAAAAAAAACCGTGTTGACCGGAAAAGTCAACTTTGAGTGAAAAACCGAACCGAACCGTTCAAACCGGTTCCGATTCCGGTTTCGAATGACCAAGAACCGGCCGAACCGAACCGAACCGTTTTATTAATAATAAATAAATAAATTATATATACACACACATGTCATGGTATAATAGGTTGAAAAATTGTGTACAGGAGCTGCTGCTTCTTGCTTGCTCTCTGAAGTCTGAAAACCTGCAATTTGCTTCATCATTTTTTGTTTGTTGACTGATTGACCGGTGCATATGTATTTTAGTTGTCTCTTTTTGTTGACTTGATGCCACTACCAAAGACATTTGCATTAAAAAAGATGTGTTGTATGCAACTTTATGTAATCAGTTTTAGAAGATGTATTTGAATGCATAATGATTTGGTGTTCAAATAATTTATTATTAGGAACCGTAAACCGGCAAGAACCAAATCGAAACCGGTGTAGACCGAACCGTAAAGTTCTAGTAATAAATTTAAGTGGAACCGCACCGAATCGAACCGTTAATATATTTCGGTTTCGGTTCCAATTTAGAGGTGAAACCGCACCGAACCGCACCGTGCCCATCCCTAGTTAATTATATTTGACCTTACAGCACAAAAGTGCACGTAGTAGAGTGTTTTTTGTCTGACAGAATTTCTATTTTTTTACAGATTTTTGTTAATTTTTATGCATTAATTTTATGTAATTCATGCGACAGTTGAAAAAGAAGAGTGTGAGTGAGAGACAAGAATATGCGTCTGCATAACTGGCCACGTGGTCATGGGACCTGTAAAATCACGATCACGAATCATGATGATTGCTACTTTGTAGAAAGGAAACTTCTGTAAGTCTCTCTCCCCTACGAGAACACGGGAGAACCGGAGAGCTCCATAATCCCACCGCCACTGCCTTGTTTCGCACAAACTCTCCAATCCATCTTTCCAGATTTCCATATCTCCAACCCAATGTATCTCTCACTCTCAGGTACTCTCCCCTGTAGCTTCAGTTATTAAATTAAATATCATCTGATTTACTTTCTAATGATCTGATTAGCCGCTATGCAATCACATGGATTTAACCCAATTCATGAATTTTTATGTATATTCTTTATTGTAGTTTTCATGAAATTGGTGTTCTTTTAATTGGGTTTGGTTTAAACTGGATATGGTTCTTAATTGATTGGTGGATTTTAGAATATGATGAGATTCAACTGAACAATGGACAAGCTGCAGGCTTTAAAGGGTGCATCTGAAATTTGAAGTTTTAGATTCAGAATATATGAGATTCAACTGAACAATAGACATGATGTTTGATGCAACTTTTGTAAATTGCAGGTGACCCTTCTAGGAACAGGAAGGGACCTGGATTTGTTTTGCAGATTAATTGAGCTGGTCATTGGCCTTGGATTTTAAATGTCTGCCTATGGCCGTCATATGGAGCGGGAGTACTCCGCGCAGAGTCTTTCCAATGAAGGTTCAGGTACGTGAGGAAGCATTTCTGCTCGTAAGCATTTTTTCTAGAAGTGCTTTTGTTAGAAGCATGTCAAAAGATTTATTAAAAATCCAAAATCTTGACGGTGTTGTGGTACACCAGTGAAATGTTATACCCTTGGGCCTCGTTTGGTGTCTTAGATCACTAGATTTAGTGTATGTTGGAGGAAGAAACGTATGACATATGAGTTATTCAATTCAACCCTAGGCACCAAACGAGCCCCGAGACCTCGGTTCATGTAATCAGAAGCATGTTGACCTTAATTAATTAACTATTGATATTCTTCCATTCCATGATCACAGAAAGGGCAAGCAGTTATGCCATGGAGACAGGATTCTACATGTCGTCTTTTGCTACGACAATCTTCATTGGTGCACTTATAACTGTTGGGCTCTTATTAATCGCCTTGCTGATTGCACTGACTGTAATGCTGCAGTCTTGCGAAAATAGGAGTCATGGAATCGTTGAGACTCATAACCCGAGTTTCGATTACAATCACTGCCAGATCTTGTCTCTGCATATGGAACTCAACGGTGAAGCGGATCGCTTCCCTTCAATGTGCAGGGTTGTTGCCCTTCAGTACATCAAAGAAGGTCAATATGTAAGAGATTTAAATTCTACCATGTCAATGATTCAGAATTATTTCAGCGGCATTACCTCAGCACACGATGGTCTGGACGTGGTCTTGATTGACATAGATGACATTCGTTCTTCAAATCCTCGGCACATTAATTTGCCACTGCCCCAGTAATTTAATCTCCTTTTAGTCCTTTAAGCATTAGTTCTTGCATAGTTCCGTCTTTCATGTTATCCCATTTCCTTATGCACAGATATGATCAGTATGGTTGTAGTGATTGTGTGGAAGAGGCAAAGCATCTGAAGCACAGGTTTATTCTGAGATTATACATGGAACTTAATGCTAGCGGTTGGCCTTTGATTCTGCTATCAAGAAAGCCGGAGGCGGATCGGAATTCCTTCATAGAGGATCTTATATCTGCAGGGTTTAGAGCTTGGTCAACATTGATAATGAGGTATTTGTTACAATGCATATCCCGCTTTCTTTCTAAAGTCTTTTAGGTAAAATTAGTTGGATGTTTCCGAGTTCCGATTCGATCTGTTTTCGGCAGATCGGAAGATGAATTGCATATGGAGAGCCGTGACTACTTCTCGAAACGAAGGGATGCAATGCAGAGGGAAGGCTTCCGCATAATAGCCTCCATTAGCAGTCACATGGATGCTCTAAGAGGTCCGTTTTCAGGAGAGCGGATTTTCAAGCTTCCAAACCCAATTTATCACAATTTTTCAACATCGAATTGCGGACGTACGTGTAGACGCAGGCGTTACCACATTGGCTAGACCGGGTGCGCTCTCCCTTATACACCAAAATAGATTTTTTTTTTCCATGTTTGCACCATTGATTTTGAGTTTTCCGTATAGTTTTTTTCAGCAGATTTTTTTATCCGAAATCAGTGCAGCCATATAAATAGCATCAGTTCTGCTGTAAAGAAATTTCGGCATCATTAGTAGTATAATTATTGGTAATCATTCTTCATCTGTTGCTTAAGTTTGCCTAAATATGTGCACTTAATCGAGTGACAGACAAAAACAAAGATAATGATGATAAGATCAAAGAACAAGAGAATTCCAAGAGACAAGAAGCATCCTAAAACAATGGCGGACCAACGGATTGCAGCCGCCGCAACCAAGCAATCCTGACACTAGGCCTTTTCAGTAGAAGAAAGATTTCCCTGTATTCCTTTTTCAGAAATACATCTAATGCAAACAAATAGAGATCACTTCCTTGTTCTACTTCCTCCATGGCATCAAGACAGTTGATGCACTCCCCAATGCTGTAAGTGGGCTTGCCTTGTCCAAAAGCAACTGTTACGGCATCAAGTTGCTCAACGTTGTTCTCCTCTTGGTTCGCTATGCCTCCGTCTTCTATATGCAAAACGGAGGTACTCAAGTTATCGTTGTACTTCCTACGCCTGGCAGGAGGCTCTGTCTCTCCGGTATCTGTTGTTCCGTCAAATATGGCTTCCAGTTTGTCAGCGCATTGAGGTTCCTTAAAGCGGAATGAAGCAGCTTCGGGGTCGGTCTGTAATAAAACAAAAACCATTTTGCTTTAACAACCCGAAATCATTCATAATCTTCCTGGTTTACAGCTATGTAGAAATAGTTACCGGCACTTGTATATCATACCATACCTCTAAGTAATTGGCCCAATCTTCATCACTTGCTCCAAATCGTCTGGTGTTCGGATTCCAACCCATGCTAGTTGTGCCAATTAGCTTACACCATATTCTCCATTGTTCCTTGGTGACATCCCAGTGATTCTTCAACTGTAACCTGTCGTACATAAGGCCAGTTTTTTGGTGAAACGATTCGACAATAGTCCTCCAAGCGTCCCTGGTAAAATGTGTCCCGGGTTTGTTCCCTTTCAATGTCTCTTCCAGACATAGATCGATAAATACACCATGGGACGCAGGCGACCAAACTGCCTTTGCCTTCGAATGGGATGAGCTAGATATGCTTTGCTCACTTGCAGTTGTTAGACGGTGTTCGGACTGAGCCACGTAACTCCTTAATGGCATAGCGTTTGAAAGATGCTCCTCTCCCAGCTCCACAGTCACCAAATCTTGTTCTTCTGAGTGCAGGAAGGAGTTGTCCGAGCTATTGCTTTGCCTCCTCTGAGAATCACAAGGTTCCATGTCCCCAGAATCCGTAGTGCCAACAAAAAGGATTTCCAATAGGTCAGGGCACGGGATTTCTTTATGCTGAAACTGTGCAGCTTCGGGGTTCACCTGAGACAAAGCCCTCGCAGTTACAAACTGAATTCACGAAAAACCTCTATAGCATCGCTCTTCGAATGCACAGCATTAGCTGCTGTGAGTAAACTAGCATTACCTGTATGTGGTAAGCCCATTCTTCTGCACTAGCACGGAATTGATTGGTCGTAGGATCCCACTTCATATCGCTCTCAGCAAGGAGCTTAACCCAAACTTTCCATTGCTTCTTGGTGAAATCCCAATGGTTCTTCATTTGCTTCTTAGTGTACCTTAAACCCGTCTGCTCGTAGAACCCTTCGATGAGATTCCTCCAACCCTCCTTGGTAAAGTGTGTACCGGGCTTATTCCCTTTGTCCACCTCTTCCAGACAAAGATCAAAGAATATTTTCCGGTGCCCCGGAGTCCAGGTGGCTTTTGATCTTGATGAGCTATGCATCCTTTATCAATTCCAATTTCTCTGCCATTTTTCATAGGCATCAACATGATACCCATCATCTCAAAACAACACACTTTACAGTTGATTGTTGTGTTGATAACTCAATGAGTATTAAGGATTAAGAGGGAAATGTATGCCCATTAAATTCATAATTAAAGTTTCTAACTTTATATTGTGCAGCTAAATACACAAAAAAAAAAAAAAAAAAAAAAAAAAAGAAATACTGGAAATGCAATTGAAATTCCTGCAAATAAATAAATACCCATTTGATGCAATTACAGTGTTTAGACAGGAAGCATAAGTTTAAAACAATATCTATATATCTATACGCTACACACCCACCCACCCACTCAAAATTCGCATTTGAAACGATCTCCGTAAATCTGCAATGGTTTGCATGCTAACAAAATATTAAAAAATGGAAACGAAATTGAAATAGGGAGAGAAATTCATACCTGGGATTTAAAGAGGGGCCGGAATTCCTACTTGCAATTTTGCACCATACCCCTTAGCCTTTACCTTCGAGAAGAAGAAGAAGACGACGAAGCAGAAGCTCTCCCCCTCTCTCTCCCCCTCACTCTATTGAGTGTTTCTGAAACGTGAAATCGACGGCGCACAATAATTTATTTTCTCTTTTGGGTTTTGTAATAGGCCCAAGCTATAGCATCAATTCTCATAGTCGGCCCACTATGCCCATACTTTTTCAGGCCCCTCTTTTCGAAATGAGCTATCTCCTTTTTGGATTTTTGGGGAATTTGCTCATCTTTATAATTTTTGGGGGTGAAAATAGGTCGGATTTTTTGCGCTGGTAAAAAGGAAAAGACTGAAATATTTTTTAAGTCTTTTCAACTTTTAGAAGGGTTGACTGTTAGAAGGATTGATTGTCATGGCGAAACAACATGCTGCCCTTTTTTTATTTATGAACAAATGATAGATACTCTACAATAAGGGGCTACCGAGTGGGTTACGTCTTAGCTTACCATAATAATATGGTTCAACTTCGCTGTTGGTGAAAATTGAACCTAAAATCTTTCTACAAGTGAAGAGAAATACCACTAGACTGTAATAATAAAATGATCACTTGTTTCATTTTTAGGAATAGAATGAGATATTGTACTACTGTGTTTTCATATTGTTTTCCACGTTAGTTCACAAGAGTGCTGATTTTTTTCAAATTATTTTTCACCTAGCATGTCTCTCTTTATTTATCATTTGTCAATTCACAAGTGTGTTGACACAACCACGACCTGCATGTAAATGGATAAACCCAAACACAACCCCTGAGACCCCTACTAGGGCGTTACAATGATACACTACAAATACCAATACCATTTTTTGTGTGTACCAAATTTAGTATGATAGTTTCATCGTATTATAGTTGTTGCATAATTGTATTTTACTGTTATATTTCATAATTGTGTGACGATAATTTCAAACACTTTTTTCTTTTTTGATTGCCTACATTGGTCTTACTAATCAAGCAAATATGTAAGGCCAAAGATCCAATGTTACTTAAAAGTTATACCAATTCAAACAACCACCACAATACCACTAAAATTTAACCTTCCATTTTCTGCCAAACTAAACTAATTAGGGTCTTACTACCTCAAAACTTAACCCTACTAGTATGAGAAAATTGATTTAGGAGTTCACAATGCTTCCTACCACTTCTACTACCATATTGGGGCAGTAAAAAGGTATGCTTCCACTACTTCTACTTCCAAATTGGGAAGTAAAATTGTGAACTTTACAGGATTCAATCTGCAGAACTTAAGACTCCCAAATTCCCAATCCAATTCAATCTGCAGAAACTAATTCCATCTGCAGAATTAAATCACTGCACAAGAAACTAAAGCACAAACTTGCAACATCCCAGTACGAATCGTCGGTTAAACATTGCAGCCAAGCAAGATGGCAACTTTCAACATTGAGCTTAAATTAAGACAATCCAAACATCCAAGTAAGCGAAATTAAGAATATTGGTTAAAAAAAAAATAAAAGGGTAAGCTCCAACCATGCATTTTTTCAGCAAAAATTCCACTAAAACCTGTTTAGCACAAGATGAACTAGTAGTTCAATTGTCTTTCATCACAAACACTATTTCCTACTCAAAATACCCTAATCACAGAGTACACAAAACAGTAATTCCTTTGAGCAGCAACCCCAAACCGAACAAATTGTAGCCCCAACACCATCTCCATGAATCAAAATTACTAACCAAGTAATTAGCAGCAGTTTCTTCATAAACCCAATTGATAAAAGAGCCCCAACTTTAAGGTTGCTACCTCCATGAACCGAAAACTGTGCTAAGCACCTACTAATCAAAGCAACTAATTGAACCCGATTCACAGTCCACTCTACTGATCAAAGATCTCCAAGAACCCTCCAAGAATCAACAAATCGAGCTACCCAGTAATGAAATTAAGCAACTGAGTCGGAAATGCAACGTTACCAGGCAAGTAATGCAAACATCAAGAATTGCCCAACCGCCATGATCAAGATATCAAAGAATCCTCCGCGATCGGACCCAGAATACTGAATCTCCTTATACTTGCTGGTCAAATTTGGGTAAAGAATCCCCCAATTGCGCCCCTGCCTCACTTGCTTATCGAGCAGCTCGTAAATGTACGTCTCCGCAACCCCTTCTCTTCTCAGCGGCGTTCCCTTTCCGGACCTCAGATGAAACAAAAGCCCCTTGATGTACATCTCGGCGTAAACCGGGTTGGCGTCGATTTCGGCAGGGTCGGTGCTGTAGCTGGGCCACCCAGTCTCGGTCACGATCACCGGAATGTTCTCGTATCCTGCGACGGCCATGGCGCTGATGACGGCGTCGACCATCATGTCAAAGAGGTTCTGGTAACGGACGCCGGTGGTGAGGTCGTCTCGGAATCCGAATGGGTGCTCCTGAAACAGAGGAAACCCAATCGGGATCTCGCTGCGCATCTTGTAGAGGTTGTAGGGGTAGAGGTTGATCAAGAACGACGAATTGGTGTCGCGGAGGAACCTGAGGAGGGGTCTGATGACGGTGTCGACGGCCGGTTCTTGGAACCGGGCGTTGGAAGGAGGGAACGCCGTGGTGATGACGTTTATGAAAGAGAAGGTGGTGGAGACGGAAATCCTGTGGATGCTGAGATCTTGGAGGGAGAGGCGGAGGTTGCGGATGGCGGGAAGGAGGAAGGTGAAGAAGTCTGGGGAGGACTCGAGGAGGTCGTTGCCGACGGAGATGGTGCCAATGTTGGTGCGGGGGTAGAAGGGGATGACGTGGATGTAGAGCCAGCGGAGGGCGTTGGAGCGGTTGGCGGCAAGCGGCGGGACGAGCTGGTTGGGGATGGTGAGGAGGAGGGAGGTGTTGGAGTAGAGGAAGGCGCGGATCATGGCTGGGTCGGAGGCGTCGAGTCGGAGCGCGGAGAGACCGAGGGAGGAAACGGCACGGGCCACCCGGTCGGGCGCGGGAGGGGTGCCGTAAGTGGCGACAGTGCTGGCGGAGTAGGTGGCTCCGACGGTGGTGGGAAGCGAGGTGCTCCCAGGAAGGAGAGAGAGGGTGAAGAGGATGGCGGCGAGGGAGACCAAGAAGTCCGCCGCCATGGTTTCTTGGAGCTTTCTGGAATTTGGAGGGAGTTTTCTGGGGGTTTGAAATCAAGAGAGAGAGGAAGGCGTGGTTGTTAGTTTGTTAAGGCTGTTCGAGCAGAGGAGTTTTGGCGCGGGAAATGGGATTTAAGGGGGTGCGTAGTGCGCACCGGGTATTGTTTAGCTGAGAAAAGGCCGTTAGTCAGTGTCGTACGCCACGTGATTTGCGAAGGTGAACGCTGGGCTTGCTTCCAAAGCTCGGCCCAAGCCCAATATCAATATGCCCTCACGTTCTCTTGAGCTTACATAATTTCGTTGTGAGCTATGGCGTGGATTTAGCAATGTTTCTTTACTGCATTTAGCGTGAGTATATGGTAGCATCATCGGTCGGAGCTCGGAAGACGATTACTATGGCGGAAATTCCGGTATCTGAGTTCAAAATAAAATGATTCGTACTCGACCGGGGAATAAAATAAACTGTATCGGCATACCCTAACTCTACATATGATCAGCAAGGCCAAAATCACGGCCAAACCATACTTAAATAACTACCAAATCATACTGGGAAGAAATGTTACATATAATCAAGAGTCATATTTACATCTGCACGTAAACTCCTTCGCGAAACTAAACTCTTTCTGCATACGGTAATTGGACAATCTGCATTACAACACCAAGGAGTATAAACATGAGAACTTTCTCGGTTTAATCCTCTAGACAGGAATTTAGATGAACAGCTGACAGAATAGCAGAACAGGAAACCGCTGATACTTGAAGGCCGTCCTACGCAAATTATGTGCTAACATTTTCAAGTTACTGACTACCAAATATGGATTAAGCAGCCTACAAGGCATGGCTACATTATTGCATATATGCTGCATGATGGTAAATTTACCGTTGCTTTTCGTTCACCTAAACTGGCACCAATGGTCGCTAAGTTTGGATCATCTCTGTGCTTTCCCCAGGCTGCTTCGAACTGCATGCCTTTGCATCTGCCAATTACAGGAAGGGGGTTTTAATGAACAAACAATTATAAAGGAGGAGGTTCATACAATTGCCATATAAGTATGAGAAGGAATAATCCTTACTGGTGGAGCAGGATCAGTATCCGAATAACAAGATCTCTAATTCCTTCACGGGACCTTTTCAATGCTGCTTCTTTGTACAGAACAACAAGTTCGTCCACCAACCTGAAACCAAGCAATGATGTAACAATACAAAATAAAGGATTCCCCCTATAAAAAAAATCAGAAGACGAATTGGGTGCAATCTGGAAGTGGAGTAGGTCCTGAAGCAAAGATTTGAGAGGTTGAAAATATAAGTCAATAAAATACCAAAGTTGCATACAAATTCAATGAAGTTACCTTTCCACATACTGTGTGTTCCTAACCCATGTTAACTTTATAACTGTTTCAATCTGTTTGAGAACCTGCAAAAAGCAAAAGCAAAATAATTTCAAAACTATGGTAGAAATTATTGATGTTCACATAACAATTCATAGCCTACGCGCCATGAAGAAACAATCATCTGCAGACGCCATGTCTCCAGAACTTGTGGAAGTGGAGATTAAGTATTAACCAACGATAGCATGAAACCATATCTCACTACACACACACACACATACAAGAGGATATCACTCGAGTGGGAAGATGATCTCACCAGTAAAACAGTCTCGTCATCATCAGCATGCATCCACTTAAAGAAAAGAGGGAAAATGCGCCTGAAATGTGCTAGTAACACCAGACCCACACCATTAAAAAGTGGCTCTACATGACGAAGCCATGCAACGCGGCGTTCCTTGTTCCTAGATTGGCGCTCCAGGTGACTTAACATCTCGTTTAGCATCTTATCAAACCTATGGAATATATCGGGAAGGGCATTAAGAATGTGATAAAATATGCAATCAGTGTATTATGTAGATTTTGCTGTCCATCGGTAAAAGTTTTAACTACAAACCTCCATATCATTCCTTCAATTTTAAAACAACATCCACAGAAAGTAAAAAGCGTAATGAACATAAAGCACAGAGACAAACAAGAATACCATGGACTACGAGGATTACTTTGCTGGGTACAAGTCACAATAAGCACTGACATCTCGACCACAAGTTCCCATATTTCATCACTAGAAGCAATATTCTGGCAGCATGCATCAAGGATCACATCTTGAAACCAACCAAGTTCGGCAGCATTCACGTTTTTCGCGATATGTATAAAGCTAATCATGCCCTGCCCCTGAAACAAAGCATGGAGGATGAGCATCATCCGTCTGCCTTAACATAATACATTTGCTACATTATACAGAAAGTGACTCGTTGCAGTTTAAACACAACAAAACTGGAAGCTGAACAACTATATAACAAAAACATACTTTGATCTCGGCGGACCAGTGATCAAGAGCCGTCAATGCACAAGGAATAACCAAATTAGACAACTTCCCCAAATGAGGATAATCAATCTACAAAACAACAACACACCAATCATATCATTAACAATAACTAAAAAGCCACCAAATTTTAATTCAACATCCCAAAAAGAACAAATACAAATATATATATATATATATATATGCACATATGAGCTCACACCTGTGTAACAAACCACCTAAACTGATAAGCGGCCACAATGGCAAACCCAACCGGAACCCTGGCGGATGCCGCCGAGAACTCATCGCAATCCTCCGATTTATCGATGGAGCTCTCCTTAATCCTGCTCTTCAACAATGGAAGAATCTCAGGTATCAATTCTATCATCAACTTCTTCTCCTCAGGAACCGAACCGCAATTCAAACCCAATTCAGCAATCGTCTTACTGTTCTTTTCGCTGTAAGCCATTAAATAAGCTTCCGAAAGCTTGCGAAAGGCCGAATCTGCAGCGGCTGAGAGGTCCTTGGGGATCCATGAGAGGAGGACGTGGGCTGAGGACTGAGAGGCGGAGAGTACGGCGCAGGCGAGAGCGAAGTCCCTGATTGAGGTGTGAAGCTGAGCACCGTCGATGTTAGGGCTTCGTGGCGGTTGCTTGCGAGGGAGGAGAGCTTCCAGTAAGGCTTTCGAGGAGACGCCGCCGTCATCCGGCGGAGTATCCGGCGCTTTGCTCAGAGATTTGGAGATTGAATCCGATAATCTAAAAAAATTACTAGAAATTAGAGAAAAATAATAAAAAAATAGGAGAAGGAGAGAGCTGTGGAATTTACTGGATGAGCAGCTCGTAGAGTGTTGAGAACGATTCCGACATTTCTGACTCGGTCCGCCCGCCGTCTGAGCTCTCAACTCGCCGTGCTCTCTGGGTCTCTGCTTCTGTTTTATGAACTAGGGAGGGAAAAGGGAGTGTTTGACGTCGTTTTTGGGGTTGTTCCGGAAACGGCATGGCGTTGACAAGCCACCTTCGAAACGCAGCGTACTGGACCGAATTATGGTTATCATGGTCCGAGGTAATTAAAGGTCATCATTATGGTGAGTCCTATGTTCATCATGCAGTTCAAGCGCGTGCCGTCTCCATCACCCGGCTTATCCGACTCATTAAAGGTCATCAATTTTACACTGAGATTTCACAATGTATGAAATTAGGATAAATGGTCGTGTGATTAGCACTTTGTAATGTTATAATAATGTGTATTGAATAAATTTAGTCGACGACAAGTATCATTCAATTTCACTCAAAATCTGCAACGCTAGCTATTACATCGAATCATTTTCCTAAAGTTAGGGTTGGGCACTTTAGTGGGTTTATCGATTAACCTGACCAACCCAATCAAAATTGGTTGGGTTAGTTGGGTTTGTAAACTTTATTTCAAGTAAAAGCTCGGCTGCTCATTTGATAGATGAGTTGGATTAGGTTAAAGTATTATTAACCTGATTGAAATTGACTCATCTAAATATCAACATTTTTTAAACATACATTATATAGACATATACATAAAATTCAAATAGATATTAGACACATTTGTTTATTTATACTTTAGTTAAAAAATTGAAATTTGAATATTAACAAATAGGGATTCTGCAACACCAAATTAACATAATTTAAGCCTAATATGATATGTATTTTAGATTATTTGTCACTCACACTCACTTTAGGAATAAGAAAGAAAGTAAATAATCTCAACCCATAGAACCCATCCAACCAAACTGACCCTCCTTAGAATGGTATGGGTGAGTTGGTTTGCCTATTTCATTGAGTGAAAATGAGTTTTCATAATGTCAACCCGAACCTATTAAGTTAGCCAAGAAATTGAAGAAAGTAAATGTTCGTATATAAGCGATATTGATCAAGGGCCAAATAATTTTTTGTAATACAAGCAATATTGATCGAGATCCTTGTTACGTTGAATATAAAATTAAATGTTCAAAATCACTCGAGCTACAAATTAATTTAACTCTGAATAAACATAAGCAACTCTTATTAGAGTCAAAGTACCTTGATCCTAGGGTGAGTTCACGTAATTGGATAATATTAAAATCCTAGCAATAGATAAAGCTTAGAAAATTCGTTAACTTTGACACCCAAAAAATGCTGTAAGTCTGTTTTATTTTATTTGTTGGTAACCAATTTGTCTTCTACTAGTCAAGCCATTTTCTCCTCACAAATTTGTAGGTTTGTTTATCTTCTGTTTTGGTTGGGAACAAAATTAAATATAAATAAATTAAAAAAAAAAGAAAAAGCATCCACCCAATCACAAAATCACAATAATTATTATACCATGTTTCCAACCGAATTTTAAATTTAGAAATGTAGACAGCAGCTAATGATTTGGTGCAACCACAACCTTCGATTATATGCATTTAATTTGATAAAACACATATTATGCATTTAATTATCCTCTAATTACTTAAAATATAAAAAAGACTAGCCTTTTAAGAAGTGTTTTTATAAAAAAAATCCAAGTGTTTTTCAGAAAGGGATCATTTCTGGATTCCTTCCACTTGAGCCTCCTGATCAACAAATCCAGACTTTTGAAATTTAATTTAACGGTTAAAAACAGGAGGCTCATTAAAAGTTATAATAACTTCAGTCGTTAAATCAAATTTCAACTATCTAAATTTGTTGGCCAGAAAACTCAAATAAAAGGAATCCGGATATGATCCATTTCGTGTTTCCCAATGACCCGAGTGGTTCGAAAAAAAAGCACTTCTACGAGGCAAAAGTTCTTATCATATGTGACTAGCACTGCTTTTAGTTATTGTAAACCACTTTTGATGTTGCAACGTAGCGCGAGAAAAGCCGCGTAAAATAGAGTCGTTGGACGATACAAGGTGGAACCAAATTGTTTCCAGCACGGATATTTTTATTGCTTTTTATTTATATTTTATAACGCCTTTAAAATCTCTCCCATCGGATTTGGAGGGGTCTCTCTCACGCTCTAATCTCTGTAATTTCATCGTCGTCGTCTTCCTCCACTACGCCGCATCCGCTCCCTGCAAAAAGCCTTCGCCATTCACCGTCCGCCATCTCATTCCTTCTGTACGGAAAAGGACCCATTTGCGCTCCTCACTTTTTTTCGCTCTTTCCATTTTTCAAAATCTTTTCTCTTTTATTCTACCCTTTTTATTTGTCGAGATTTTTTAGCTTCACTCAGTCAGCCTTAAAGCTTTTAAGGGTACGCTTTTCTGACTCTGAAGAATGTTTATTGACTTCAATTTATAATCTCTGCTGCCAGATCTCCATTCATTTGTTCTTGCATTTGTGTGCTTTGAAGGTTGGATCAGAGAAAAAATCTTAAGAAAAAATGTGTAATTTTTTGCAATTTAGCTGCTTATGTTCTAAAACATTTAGATCGGTTTCTGGGAAAGTTGGAAAAAAGATTTGGGATTGTGGGTTTTCTGTGGATTTGTTGATAAAGTTGCCAAATTCTGTAACTTTACTGTTTTACCTTATCTGGGTCAATGAATCACTGTACTTTTACATTTTCTTTCTTCTACTTTCTCGGGAACCAAACAAAAATTTTGATTGCCATTTCTTTCTGTTTAATTGTTCCTGCAGGTGGAAGCTTAAGAGGTGGTGGTCTGGGTTGGGAGAGAAGAATCAGATCTAGAAGGAGAAAGAATTATGTCTTTCATTGGCACCCAGCAGAAATGCAAGGCTTGTGAAAAGACAGTTTACCCAGTGGAGGAGCTTTCTGCTGATGGGATTTCCTACCACAAGTCTTGCTTCAAATGCACCCACTGCAAAGGGACTTTGAAGGTACTCAGCCAACCTTCAATTCTGCCTCATTTCGTGCTTCGTTGTCCATTTTCGATCCGTTTTGTGTGCGCGTGGAACTTAGATGCTGCATTTTTGTTTGATTCATAGCAAATTATGAAGATTACTGCTTTATCGATACTTGAGACCAAATTAGATAAGGATTTCTGTTTTCTGTGAGGATTGTTAGTATCATGCCAATGGGTGTAATGACATAGGATATTGGTTAATAATCGAAACTCTGGGGAGGAACACACATTTTTGCTCACTGATACTTGCAACCTTAATAGAATATCTAATTTGTGATATTATCGGCGTGTGAATGCATATGTTTGAAAGAGAACACGAATGTGAGATTTGTTCATACCATTGACCCGAATTCTGTTCAACTAAGATACGTAACTTATGGAGTTGTTTATGGAAGTTTCTTCTTGTTTCTAAGGCTTTTGTGATATATATCTTTCCAGCTGAGCAATTATTCCTCAATGGAAGGTGTCCTGTACTGTAAGCCTCACTTTGAGCAACTGTTCAAGGAGACTGGCAATTTCAACAAGAACTTTCAGTCGCGTATGTCTCTCTTTTTCCTGGTGAAACCGTTTTTGTTTTTATTGTTACTGTTTTAATCTTCTGTAAATTTAATTTGCAACAGCTGCAAAGTCAGCTGAGAAGTTAACTCCAGAGCTGGTAAACTTCTTTACATCGCTGTTATAAACTCAGTTTTTGAGTGAACAAATTACTCTTACTATCAGGTCGTGTTAACACTGATTCTCAAATGTTTGTGTTTGGTTCAGACTAGATCACCTAGCAAAGCTGCTAGCATGTTTTCTGGAACACAAGACAAATGTGCTACTTGTGGTAAAACAGCTTACCCATTGGAGAAGGTAGGATCCCAAGATATGTCGTTTCTTGATAATTTTTCTTTCGACTATTCTCTTTTCCCCCTTTTTTGTCCCAAACAAAAAAGAATTGGCTGGAACTGGCACTTCGTTGCATTGATATAAGTTGAGCACATGTTCTGTAATTTCCTAATTATAACCAGAGGTGTTCGAGGTTACATGAATTTCACATGACCTCTATAGAAACAAATGAGTTCCTCTGCAATAGTTGTTTTAAGAAAAGGAACATTTTTCGTATAATGCACAAAGATATGAATCACGGGTATCACGTGCTTGTACTTTGGCTAGATGTTCAGTATGCCCTGGAGTAGTATTCCATTTTAGAAGTCGATCTCCAATGCGAAAATTGGACAGTTGTGTAAATCATGTCTGCTCGCATTATAGTCTTTCCAACCTCCATTCACCCCAAATTTGAGAAACAAAAACAAAAAATCCCACGAAACTAATTCAAGTTTATTGAACCAAAATTTTGCAGGTGACAGTGGAGAGCCAGGCCTACCACAAGTCGTGTTTCAAGTGTTCTCACGGCGGCTGTCCTATTACTCCCTCAAACTACGCCGCCCTGGAGGGCATTTTATACTGCAAACACCATTTCTCCCAGCTTTTCAAGGAGAAGGGGAGCTACAACCATCTTATTAAGTCTGCATCAATCAAGCGCACAGCAGCTGCAGCAGCAGCGGCAGCAGCAACAGTAGCCTCCATTCCAGAAGCATAAATTCCATATTTAAATGTTCGATTACATGGCTTTCGTTTGTTTGAGAGTGTTGCATCCCTCTTCAACCTCACGCTTTTCCATGGCGGAGTGAGAAAACTTGGTTCTTCTCTTTTGTATTTGGCTCATCAATCTTGGGCACATTGTTGTGTTTTGCTTCATGTATGTGATTCTGGGTCCGGCAGTTAGTAAAATGACCTTCTTCGGGACTTTGTGCGCAGTAAAGTTCATGTTGTCACCATTTTTGTCGGCATTTTGCAAATATATGAAGAGTCTATCATCTTCGTCTTATTTTCCCTCTTCCCCCTCCTCCTCCCCCCACAGCGGCCGCCCCCCCCCCCCCCCCCCCCCGGCCCCCGGCAAACAAAGAAATTGTGATGGTCTTATAACATTGAGGGCTCGTTTAGAAATGCTTTTTGTAAAAGCATTCATGCTCAAAGTGATCGAAGCACATTGAAATTTTTAATAAAAAAATAAAAGTGATTCATGAAAAAACATTTATATTAAAAACACATAGCAAGTGCGTCTTCCATAAAGCACTTCAAGTGCTTCTTTTCTACCCATAAACACATTTAACTTTTTTATGCAAAACATTATTAGAATAAATTTTTGTTATTTTAAAAGCGCTTTCAAAACAAATCTCGAAACTGGTGATTATACTAATGACTTCATACACCAAGTTATTATTTGAGGGCAGCCAAGTTGATAATAGTCAGTCGAAGCAGTTAGAGCTAGTTTGTTAAAAGTTGGTTATAATTGGCGGGAAGGAAAAAAACACAGAATAACCGCATTCAAGAAATTTCAGAGAGAAAAATTACAGCATTCATTCAGATTCAGGCTTAAAGATTTTTCCGTCCAAGAACAGTATCAAATTTCTGATCTCTTCGGCGCAGAACAACTACTTTCAACTCGGGCATTGCATTTTATTGGTATGTCCATGGAAACCTCAACTTATATATATTCTGCATTTTCTTTCAGTTTCTTGAATCGCTTTCCTTCCGTTTCTTTTCTTATCTTCTGGGATTTGCTGGTATCGTAATACAAACTCGGTTTTCGGGCAGGGCTGGTTGTCGGAGATTGGCTTAGTTTAGTTTGTGTGAAAGAATTGGACTTGATTTCTTTACAGAAAAGCAGAGGTGATGACACTTGAAATTCATTCCTTGCAACTCGGATTGGTTCTTCTAAAAATTTGCTGATTTCTTGTTCAAAATTTGCTGTCATGAAGATCAAGACGCGAGATACGAACTCCCGTTTCAAGATGAAGCTAACGCAGACTGTAGGCGAATTTCTTGGGATTCCAGAAGAAGAGTACCACGCCACTGTCAAGATGCCGCAGGCGAGGCTTGCTAAGATTTGCAAGGATCTTAGCAGCATCGGTGATTCTGGTATTATGCTTTTTCACATACCAAAATGTTTACAGAATTGTAAAAAATAATTACTGACGCAGTGATGTGGTAAATAAATAAATGCAGTTGAACTTGAGATGTCTGTGAGCAATGAAGTTGTCAAGTTCTCCGCCATAGGTGAATCTGGGACTGCTAAAATCACTTGCAGGCGCAACATCCCCGTCGACAAGGTTCTTTTTCTTCAGAAATATGATTTCTTCCGTAAAAATGTCAGATAAATGGTTAGTTTTTGTTTAGACGTGGGAATTTTTACATCAGTTAACATGCTGCAATTATATGTTACATGCAGCCTGAAGAAGCTACCAGTATAGACATGGAGGAACTTGTTAGCCGGACCATTAGTCTGAGCAGTATGGCTTCGCTCGTCGCAGCCATCCCATCAACGAGCCAAGTGAAAATCAACCTGTCTTCGAATTCCCATCTGCCGGTTGTGATCGAGTACAGAGTTGCTGAGATGCGTTACGTAGGGTTCTTCCGCTTGGCTTCTCACGTAGATGTCGGAAACCTAGAAGAGTCGGAAGGTGAAAATGAAGTGGAGGTTTGAGTAGTCTCATCTCATTGATCAAAAAAATGTTTTAGGACCATCATCATATTTTTGCTTATGCTTTACAAACATTTGCAGTACATGTATAAGCATACAACCTTTGAAATATCGGACATTCCGGCATATTTCGTGTTCCTGGCCGACATTTGTATCCTCGGAACCAGTTGGCAAATAGAACGTTAAACATGTAGTGACTACTTAATCTGGTGACTGTTTAATGCAAACGGACACCAAACGTCTGGTTCTGTATATTCGGTGTTTTATACGGCGTGCCAAACGAGTCCGCGTCTCAGATGCAAGTCTGTAAATGATTTGTTTTTCATTGATTCAATATAAGAAATGTTAATAACAGACTACAACCCTTTTAATGAAAAGAATAAAATGATAAAAACATTGAATTTCTGCCGTAACCCCAAAATCTGGGAATAATAGAAGACCATAATACTAGTCACTTATTGAGTTTCCTACTGTTTCGACTTATCCTGCGTTGTTTGCTGATACAAATGGAAGCCACGCACGTACTCAGGCTTCCGGGGGGAAAATAGAATTTGTAGAGGCGAGATCCCGGCACCAACTGCTAGCATGTACCCCCCAACTTTGCCTCCAGGACAGCCGAAGCTGTTCTAGCAGTACAGAATATAAAACGTAGGACGTTTCACTAAACTATGATTTGCTTCGTTTCTTGGCTTCACTGTATAGGATCACTCCAAAGACTGTAAGAGTGTAACCCAGCATTCCTGTCACAGAAACTGGATTTCTAAAAATCAATATCGAGACCACCACAGCTACAGCTCCTTTAGCGTTCCCTAGCACCTGGATAACCAAAGGTTCCTTTAGTTACTTGCAACAAGACTAGGAAAAGAAACGTTAAACATAATGATGACAATGCACATACCACTCAACCTTTCACATTAAGGTGGAGGAAACCATGAAGTAATGTAGAAAAATATGGTAAACATTGGATTTAAGCATGATTCATTTCATTTTTTCAACGCATCAAACAAAAGCATAAGCCAACATAGACATGCGAATAGCAGACCTACAAATAATATTCTTGCAGCTTCGACCAACATACTAATGGCCCACCTCTTGTCCTACTAGTGCCTGCAATCTTACGCATCTTGATCCTAGATTATAAATTCAGCCATGCTATAAAATATGGCTATATTCGAGCAGGTTCTATCCTTCAATAGGCACCAATGAACCATTATTTCTCAACCCTATAGACAGAACTAGTGCCTAAAATATTAGGATTTTTTTTGTGACAAATGATATAGTGGGTTAAATTGCTAGTTGGGGGGAGGGGGATCTGTGGGGATTGAACCCACACCAGGGTGCATAGGCACCATTGCTTTCTGCCGCTGCGGTAAAGCGCCATCTACCCCAATAATATTAGGATGATTCATATCCTATTAGCAACAAAATCCACTAAATTTTCACCAACTTAAACCCTGACGACAGAACTCCTGCAAGTTCAGTATCTCCCTAAACCGTAACTGGTATTTGTGAAATCTTCTACATGCTAGAACCTAACAAGTGTTAACAGCATTTAAAATACATTTTGATTGACAACTATTAAGATGCCACATCAAGAAGGGAGACAAACCTGAAGAGTCAGAGCACTGGTGTGCTTTGTGACCAAAAAGTTGGTCAGATTTACAAAATATGCCAGCGCCGAATTGAATAGTAGGTACCATATGATCTTGACATCGTCTCTTGCAAGAGCTAGTGTTATACCAACAACATTTTCTTCCATGATAAGTGTTGCCGGAAGTAAGAAAACAACGGCTATCGGAGCCATATACAGAAGGAGGTTCATGGAATTCAGCTTCTCCCTGGAATATAACAGCAAGCCATTAAGTACCCATTTAACCAAAAAGAGAAGATAACCAGTGGCATCAGCTTCAACAAAATAGAGAATAGCAAATACATAAGGATTCCTTACCCTTCAGAAGAAAGCAAAATCCCTTGTAGCACTGATTTAAGCGCCCTGGCAGCGGTTGCTGCTACGCATATTAAGAAACCAAATAAATGGAAACTTGGTTCACCCTGCGCCATGTAAAAAGAACAAACTATGAGATGCATTGCTCAAATCAAGTTGAAGACTCCACATACGTCTGCACAATCTCACAACTTTACCGGCTATATCAACTAGGTAAAATGGAAAAAGCCACCCACTTTCATAAACCCATAGTTGTTTTCATTCACCCCAATTCAGCTAAACTCTTGTATTAAGCTCAGCTTAACAGGAGTTTATCAGATCTCAGGTCCTACCCTACTAAAATCTCTGGTTCAAAAATTTATCTTTCCGTTTTGTTTTCATAGATCTTCTCACAACTATCAGGTTTTACTTCCCATTGAACTATAGGGGATAACTGGAATTATATAACACACAAAAACAACCGAATTGGCGAAAAATGCCACCAATCATCCCAACCCATATCCCACAATTCAGACCTGTCTAAGTAAAGTTGCTCGATTCCTATCCCATCGCATTTCCAGAATTCACAGTAATTCTCAATAAACAGTTGAATTTGCATTAAACAAAACAAAATTTAACAGCAAAGGAAGAGAGCTCATACCCCACTTGCAATGATGACTCCTGTAACAACAGGAACGAGGGTGAGATACGTGAGCCAAGCCTCCCTTTTGAGAGTCATAAAGTAGGCGAAAACCGCAGTGAAGAACGGCGTGGTGGCGCCAATAGCCTGGTTAAACGACACCGGCAAATACCGCAGCGAAATGTTCCCAAACACGACGGAGACACAAAACACCAGGCTGAGCGCCGCGATCTTCAAGAATTGAACCCGGGATCGAATAGTCTGCATCGGAACCATCTTCATCCAAGCAATTGCGATGTAGCTGAGCAGAGAGCAAGCCGTCATGTGGCACATGGTGAGGAAGATCGGGTATTTGAAGCCATAGTTGCTTAGCAAGTACTTGTTCAGCAGCAAAACCCCAATGTTGGACGAGTACCAGGCGGTAACGAGCCCGATCGTGAACAAGCGGCTTTTCCCTTTCATCTTCTGAGGTGGGTCACGACCGGACGGCGGATATTTGGGGAAAAAACCCAGAAGGCGTTAGATTTCAGGTGGGGGTGGGATCTTCTAGGGCTGGGGCATTGGTGAAAACCCAGGTGCAGAATGAAGAATTGGGTTATGTAGAAACATGGGTCGGCCTCCCATGGATCTGAGAATCGAGGTACATCGAAAAGACTGCGAATTTTTGGATAAAATTTAAAACGAAAACAGCAAGAAAAATAGGGGGCGGTTTTAGATGGTGACGGAGATGGGGAGAGGGAGAGAGGTCTTGCGTTGGAATGCTAGAGAGAGGCTGCGTCGTTGGGTCAGAGTTTTGAGGACGACCGACGCGGAATGTGTCTCTTCTGCAAATAGGGGAGGAGAGAGAGAGAGAGAGAGAGAGAGAGAGAGAGAGAGAGAGAGAGCGTTTTAAAGCAGAGAGAGGTAGAACGCGTCTTCATTTCGTTTCTTTTTCTCCCTTATTTATTAGTAGTTTAATCAGTTTTTTTTATTTTGTTTTTTATTTTTTTCTATTTTTCTTTTGCTGTGAACTGTAAGGAAAGTGGACTTTTACTATATTAAGTTTTTAAATAATTGCATGGATTTAAATTTAAGTATCTTATTAATGAATTCGAAGGACATATATTTTATCATATTTAATATTTCGACATGAAATTACACATTTATGAGATGGTAAAAAGAAAATCAACTTTGTATACGTATATTTCAAAAAGGTAAACTTCAAAAAGGTAAACTTTTTCAGTAGTAACTCACTCAATTCAAATTTTTACCTTGAAGGTGAGGTTTTTTATTTTACAAACAATAATTTACATCAAATTAATAGAGAGGGATTGAACACAGGACTTCGAGTGTATATACAACGCCTTTAGCCTATTTGCTTGAAAGTGAAACCCTCTATTTCTTATATGAAAATTAATTATTTGAAAAATTAATAATGGTTGGCTTGGGTCTAGACTTGCAACATAACGGATTCATATCTTAATTGGATTATCAGATTATGTCATTCATCTTCTATTAATTTGCATTGGATTTGAATCGGATCCAAATCAAAATCGATCCATTTACAAGTTTACTATGCTCCACGGGCTATTTAGCAGTGAATAAAGCAATTTCATATTTGGTATTTATAATTCCAAAAGAAAAAAAAATAATTGAGAATCAATATAAATATGTTAATTTTATTATTTTGAAGAAAAAAAAGTTTTATGGAAATACGGGATTAATACATATACGACTCGGAAGATTCTGCCGTAGAAAGCTGGCGCGCAAGAAGGAGAAATTCTCAACGGCCGACACTTTTTCTTTTGGTTTGGTTGAATACAAAATTGGAAGATTATGTAATTAGGCCGCATCGCAAAATCAAAATGCCGGTCCAAATGGGTATTAAATTAATAATCTTTTCTAAATTAAGACTTGTGAGAATCTTTTTTGCAAGCACTAGAAAATTGGATCGTGCCCCATGCAAACGACTAAGACCTGGTTTGGTACTGAGGTGATTCTGAAAAAAACTGCTATCAAAAAAAGCTGTGAGCTGTTTTTATGTTTGGTAAACACTCAGCTTCAGCTTTTTTTCACAGTTTTGGATGAAAAAAAGCCAAAAACAAGAAGCTGCAAAACCTAGCTTTGAAAAACCGGCTTTTTTTCACATCAGTTTTACATAAAAGTTTACAAACACTGTAATACTACTTTTTTTTTTTTTCAAAAGCACTTTTACAAAAAAGTTTACCAAACACTATGCTGCTTCATTTCACAGCTGCTTATTCTCACAGCATAGCAGAAGCAGTTTTTTTTCAAAGCACAGCAATATCAAATCAGCCCTAAATAGTAGAACATTATTATTTTCTGGGTAGCACGACCCACGCGCTCATTTTTATTTACACATATTTTTTTTATTTTCGATCGTCGGATTAAATAAATTAAAAAAGATTAATAGTTAAAAAGTAATAAGGTTGTGTGAGAGGCAAAATTGGGTGTGTGAATAATACTATCTTTATATCATTGGTTTAAGACCCTTCAAATCCACTTGACTAGATCCTTAATTAAATTCCTGTTTGTATGTGTTGTTTTCTCGAATCGATTCTTTATTGTATCATTTAGAAGGGTCACGTTTGCCGCTATAAGAAACTTTTTAATGTATCAAAGATATATTTACAGCCAGTAGAGGACCCAGGATTTTAAGATCAGGGGTCCCAACATAAAAGTTCAAAAAAATAAAAAAATATTAGACTAATTTGGCTCCATATCACTATTTTCTATTGAATTTGGTTCATTGAATAAATCAAGATTAATCTCAAGATAATAAAACCAACAAATTCTCCTCAACAACATAACACAATTAGTGACTCTACAAAGATAAAATTTGTTAATGTAACATATGTATTATTAATTGGGAGTTGGGACTTGATAGGAGCATATTCATGCGACTTAAATGGCTTGTTCTCGTGCATTTACGTTATGTTTCTCTAGTTATTTTAGTCCTTTATGCTTCTTTTGTGTGTTTTCAGGTTCTAAGGGCTTAAGGAAGAAAAAAAATGCATTTTGGAGCATTTTGGAGCAAAATTGGGCTTGGAATGGATGGCATATGATTGGAGCCAAAATGTTGGACGAATTTGAAGGCCTTGTATTCACTTTGGACATAAAACAAAGGGCCTAGCCCATTCTCTCTTAAACCAAGCCCTTTGCCATGCATTTCCTTCCAATTCCAAAGCCCACAATCAATTCAAATGCCATGCAAATCCATATTCAACACCCTAAACTACAAGCATGCATCATCTCACCAAGCAATCAAACAAGCCACATGCATGTCCCTTTAATCATTCAACCACATTCCCACTTTCCTAGCTAACCCTACATGCATTCTTTATTCACTCTTCATCATTGCACCACAAATCATTCACCCACATGCACTCATATTCCCATTTCCTTTCCAACATCTCACATGCATTTCCACCTTCCTACTTCATCATTTCACCACATTCTCCCTCTTTAATTCCACATGCATTCACTTCATCATTACACCACCACTCATTCTTTAATTCCACATGCAATTCTTCATCATTCCTTCACACAAATGCTTAAACAAACATCCATATGTTCCCTCCACTCCTCCTATAAATACCCTTGCATTCCCATTCATTAAAATCATCTCATTCACAACACAACAACACACCACAAACACATTCCTTTCTCCCTTAGAATCCAAAAACCATCTTCCATTTCCACCAATCCTCATCCATTTCCATAATTCCCCAACACTTCCATCCCCCTAACCAACCTATCCTTAAACCTTGTGCTACAACAACGAGGAAGAGAAGAGTGCCTAAACGTTCATACAATTCAAGTTTTGAGTTGTTGGAATGTTTAGGTGTTTCTTTGATTTCAAAGTTTCATTTTAATTCTCTTTGTTTTGTACGTATGAGAAATGGAAGAAAAGAGTGCTTAAACGTTCATACAATTCAAAGTTTTGAGTTGTTGGAATGTTTAGGTGTTTCTTTGATTTCAAAGTTATGAGGAACTAAACCCCCTTTAGCTAGGGGGTGATTCGAAACTATGTTTATGTTTGTAATATGATTTGATTACTTTTAATTACGTTTCATAAGTTGTGAATTCAATTTGTTTAACTGTTTGATTGATAACCTATTTATGTATGTTTATTAAGAATGAACGCTTAATTTTCATGCATGAATTTGACGCTAGAATATAAGTGAGTTTCACGTAATAGTTATGAACTTATATTCACAAGTAGTGGAGGTTGCTTATAAACAATCGTGTTAAACATATTCTTGGCATAAGTTTCATGCAATCATAGTAACGAATGCCTCGTCAACACTTATAGTTTTCATGATGCTTAATGATTCTTGCTTGTATCTCTATTATGCAATTCATGTAGGGAACTTGTGAGGAATGCTTTGGATTGTCGTATGCAATCATTCAATTCATTAACTTAAGGAAAACTTGACGGTTAATTTAAGCGGACCTAATTAACCCGGGGCGTTGAGAATTCATGGTTTATTGAAATGCAATTAGAAATCTTTTTATTATGCAAGTGTAACATGTGTGGAGATAAACCCCTTGGCTAGCATCCATTCATTCCATTTCATTAATTTCATATTTACATTATGTTTTAATTGCAATTTGTTCATTTAGTTTAATTCCGTCCAAAACTCAATCCCCCTTTACTTTATTGTTCAATTTAGTTAGAAATCATTTTAGTTTGTGTTTTTAAAGCATTTTGAGTCTTTTGTTTTGTCTTAGTGTTTTAACGTTTAGTTTCACATTCTTTGAGTCTAGTTTAGTGTTTTATTTTGTTTTTACGTTCTTAAGTCAATTTAGAAGGTTTTAGCAAGCCCTCCTAATCCCCGGTCCAGAACGATCCCTACTTACATCCATACTACAATTGTCAAAAAGAGGGTTTAATTTGTGCGCGTATAGTTCTCGCATCAAATTTTGGCGCCGTTGCCGGGGATTAGCAACTTTGCTAATCCCTTGGATTGTTTTATTTTCGTTTGTGTGTATATATTTTTAGTTTTATTTTGTTGATTTTAGAAGCACAACATGGCATTTGATAATGCTTATCTTTTGTCACAGCTCATGGAAAGGTCCCAAATGCAAAACGTTGATATAGTTGATCTTCAATCAAGGAATAACGTGTTTTCCAATACTTACAATTCGGATTGGAGTGATCAATCAACTTCTATGTGGTGGGAACCTCAAAATGTTCAACAAGAAAGATATTGGGAGCCACCTCATATTCAATATGCCCAACCAAACTCAAATTCGTCAATAGATTATAATCAAATTCTTAATGAATTAAACTCTTTGGTGCAGGGTTCACAAAATCAAGCTAAGGAGACTCACCAAGAAACATATTGGCAACCATATGAGGATTCATATGCACCACCACAGCCTTCCCCTCAATCTTCACATCCAAATTCAGGTATATCAAATTATTATAATGAAGTTATTCAACAACTGAATTCTGTGGAGCAGGGCAGGGAAGCTCAACCATTTCAACAAGACGTATTTTGGCGACCAATTGAGGATTTCTATCAAGCAAAAAAGTTGGCTGAGTGGAACAGTCAATTTAGGCAGAATGCAGAATGCATGGAACAAATTCAAGAACAAATGGTTGAAGATGAGCCCATGGATGAATTGCTACTGCTCGAAGAGGAGGAGGATGCACAAGGCACGGCAAAGG